CAGGCATGTATCACCAAGTAATTTCTCATGCATGTATGAGAAATGCCATAGTGAAACTCATTATTTTGTACAATTAATATATGCTAACAAAATTTAAATAGTAATCACGAAGATAAAAATAATGTGATATGCAAAGCAATAGGGAAAGGATGAAGGGGATAATTATGAGACTTGTGTGCTTATCTTTGACATCAAGATTCACAAAGAATTAATCTAAAAATAAGCCTAAAGTAAATGACTCAAGAATTAGAAAACTTATTTCTAAAAATAAAATTGAAAAGATTGCTTAAAAACAAAAGCAGAAACTGAACAGAGTAAAAACCACAGACAATTTGACCATGCAAACAAAAATCCATTTTTTTGAAAAATTCAAAAAATATTTGGGATCTATATATAATTGGTGAATTGTACATAAACATTTAACTTGGCTCCCTCTATAAATGCATGAACAAAAACATGAACAGTTATATTAAAAAACACAAACATGCAAGGATGGAAAGAATAATGTAGAAAATACGGAGAAAAATGATAGAAAACAATCCTTCAGTGAAAAAGTCAAGAACCAATCCTGTACATACTGCAGAAATTTTAGAGGCTTCAGAGCTGTTGGCCCTGGATACCCTGGAAATGATGGTGGGGTGCAATAAGGGGGATTATGTAAAAACTGCCTAAGAACCAGTTGCAGCTCTAGCTGTCAGATCACACTTCCCCACTCCAGTCACTGAGGAGCCCACCTCCCGACGCTAACAGAAGTCTAGAGTTTTACTTTCTGATGAGTGAACAAAGGGAGATTCATTATATTACAGGTTCTGCTAGCACTATTGGGTGCAGAGGTAATATAGGTAGTGAAAAGTAAGTAACTAAATCGTGAATGTTGCTTGACTGTTAAATGTTACAGTAGTTATTAGAACTAATTATGAATATTTAAGTCTTTTCAGGCACATAGCAGCATTAAAAAAAATCTACACAGCCAATGTATTTTCTTTTGGTTAATAAATATCACTTCTAGCTGAAGCTTTCAGAGACAGTGTATAGCTTAACACATTTACTCTTTCTCACTACAGTGATGGTGAAAGTGAAGCCTGGGTTCCTGACCAACTGCTGTGAGGAAGGCCCCACACTGCAGTGTATGGGATATGGGGCATGAGAAATAAATCAACCTTCATTGTACTGAGCCATTAAGATTTGGGGGGAGTTGATATGCAAACACAACCCAACCTATCATGATGCAAACCTTCCCTCCTTTTTCCCCACTCAATTCTTTAACTTTTTCTATCCATACTTTTTCCTTCTGGGTAGAAGATGAAGAAGAATCTAATCACACTGATCCTGGGGTTTTCCCAATCACAAGCACTCCCAGTTCACCTTACTACAAGATAAAAATGAATAAGCACTACCAACCTGCTCAGTGCTCTTTAGTATCTCAAGCTGAATTAAGACAAACAGTTGAATAAAGTTTCCAAAAAGAAACATAAAAATCAAAAGCAAGAAATAAGGCAACTCAGAGAAAGAAAAGAGTTTGCAAACAGAATAATACTGGGGGAAACACCTTACTAATCTTATCAGATGAAAAAAATTATTGACTCTAAGAAATAAGTACAAAAACAGAACTCCTGGAAAATGTGAGCAGGATAAAATGTAGTATCAATAGAAAGTCTTGAAAATAAAGAGAATATCTCAAGGAATATTGCAAAAATATTTTTAAATGGCAAACAGAAGAGAAAAATAAGGAAGTGAGAGGATCATAACAGAAGTCCAACATCTAAATTAAAGGAATGCCAAAAAAGAAGAGCTGATAGTAGGGAAGTGAAACAGGAAGAAGGGAGGGGGGAGAATCAATGAAATAATTGAAGAAAATTTTTTAAAAGCTGGAAGAAATTATTTTTATAGATGAAATGGCTCATCAGTTGCCAGTCCAATGGGTAAGATATAAACCCAAACCAAAACACATCAGTATTTAATTTTAAAATGCTTGAAATAATGACAAAACACTGCAAGAATAAATAAACATATAAGTCACATATGAAGGATAAGAAAAAAGATTAGATGCAGGGTTCTTAACAATACTTTGGTTTATATGTATATGACCAAAACAAAATTTAACACTCATACATCGTCCTCTGGAAACTAGAGGAAGATATTATCAAAGTAAGAATATAATTCACGAGAGGGGAATACAAACAGAACCAAAAGGAAAAGAATCAAAACAGGACAGAAGTGGAATGAATTTCCAGGTGATATTGAAGGATGATGCTAGTCTGACAACTGGGTCTCAAGCAGAGTGAAGTAGCAGTCCAGTCTGCAGCTGTGTGACTCAAGAAAGGATATTATCAGTGACCTTCTAGACATTGTACTATTAGATAAAACTATCAGAAGATGTGATCTATTGAAACCATAGAGTAAATGGAAAAGGGAAAGATACAAAATTCCCCAAATAGGAACTGTAACCCAAATAAATGGCAAAGAGGATTCCAAGAATTATAACAAAAGGAAGTTTCAGGATGATAGCTGAACAGCAGGTGTAGAAAGCAACTACCCAATTTACAGGAGAATTGTCTCACAGGAGAAGGGAATCACCATGTGGAAAGCTGTACTCAGGGAAAACTGCAATTGTGGAAAGCTTAAGTGATATGGATAAAGACAAACAAGAGTGCAAGTGGCTTACACCTTTAATCTTGGCCAGTTGGGAGGCTGAGATCAGGAGCATATGGTTCCAGGGCAACCTGGGAAAAGTGTTCCAGAGATCCCCCCCAATGGGGGTAAAAATCTGGGGAGACAGGAAGAAAAGAAATGAAGAAAATGAAAAGGAAGATGCTTAGTAACTTCAAAAAACAAGTAAGAAAGAAACGCAAATTAGTACACAGCAATGCTTCTAATATGTTGCAAGTGAAAGAAGGCAAGAAAAGGGTTAAAATTTAATCCAGCATATTAACAACATCTAAAATTAATTAACCAAGCTAGACATGGATGGCTCATGCCTGTAATGCTAGCTACTTGGAAGGATGAGATTGGAGAATCATGGTTCAAGGCATCCTGGACAAATAGGTCAAGAGACCCCCCCCCATCTCCAAAATAACCAGAACAAAATGGACTGGAGGTGTGGCTCAAGTGGTACAGCACCTGCTTTGCAAATGCAAAGTCCTGAGTTCAAGCCCTAGTCCAACAAAAAATTTAATTAATTAAACAAAATACAGCAGAATACAGAATAGTACTGGAGGTGTGGCTTAAGCAGTGGAGCACCTACTTTGGGGAAGCCCTTACTTCAAACCCTATTCCCACAAAAAATAAAGTTAAAGAGTTTTTAAACGGTTATCTCTTGGGAGGGAAACCAAGAAAAGTAGGAAGAGAAGGACAGAGAACCATTGCAATTTTTTATAAGCCTCTTAGTGCTATTTGATTTTGAACAAAGGTCAAATATTATTTTGAAAAAAAATGCATTTTAAAAGAGCAGTACCATAGAGTTCTTCAAAGTCGCACCAAAAACACAAAGGACATAAAATATGAAACATTGCTAGTAAGAATAGTAATATAACTAAAGGCCAATTATACAATGAAGGAAAAATGCCAAGACATTTGAAAACTAGAAGAAAATGGATGTTTTAAAATAAAATACTAGTAACTTAAAAACAAAACCCAAACAGATTTATAACCAAAGGCAAAATGTTAAAGGTAGCCATAGATCTACCACCAGCAAAGTCACCAAACCCAACCAGTTCAAACAGCAAGTTGTAATCAAGCATGTAGAAACAAATAATATGCTAATTGTCCTATTGTATGAAAGTAGATGGAAAGTTTAACCCATACTATGAACCAGAGTGATAGTTTAACACTCAAGCCATTAAAGTTAAACATGCAGAACAAGGACCAGGAAAATCCTAAAATCATCTTGACACATCAAAAAGATTTGAGCATTAAAATAGTAACATTTGTGGTTATGTTTCATTGATATCAATGACTCAAGAATTTAAAAACTGAGAAGTAAATAGATAATTTAAACAAATGTTTTAAATACTTTAAAATATGAAAGAATAAAGAAAAAGAAAACTTTCTTGATCTAAGCAGAAGACTGACTGTCTCTGAGATCAACATAAAGCTGCAATATTAGAAGCACTTCCACAAATTCAAGATTGACCTACCTTCTACTATTAATATTGTTGTATTCATTGGATTTTGTAGATTATGGTTGTTGAGATTATCTATGAACAATAACTTATATGTAGTACTTAAGGCAGATGAAGGTGAAGGTTGTGTGGCAGAAATTGTTCCAGAAAATATCATGAGTAAAGAGTAAATACCTTGAAAATGGAAGGCTTGTTTAATCCACAAGAAACTGAAAAAAAGACCAGTTATGCTAATGTACAAATATTATTGCTAAATGTATTACAAATAAATAAAAGATCTTCAGACAATTTTTTTTACTTTTTAATGAATGCTTTCTTCACATTCTTCACTATCAATTTTTGAAATAGGATAAAGTTTTCTTGCCATTTTCTTAGGATTTTGATGGGGAGCCAGAGTTTATTGCTCCTAAATTTAAGAAAATAACAGATTCTTTTAATGAATTCAGATTATCATAGGGGAAATGAGAGACAGTGATTACTTACTATCACAATTGTGAATACCTGAGGAAAATGATAGAATGGGACAACAAACACTCAGGAAAAATCACTCCGGTGGCAGAGTGCTTTTAATCTGCCATCTTTATGTTCTATTCTGAGTTCGGAAATAGCAGCTACAAAACGCAAGGTGGCGCTGCTGACTAAAAAGAAAAAAAAAAAAAACCCGCACAAGGGATGCTACAGACTCCAGTTTTAAAAGGAAATCTGACAAGAACGGAAGCGGAAAGGCAATCGCCATAACAGGCGTTAGGGGAAAAGTGGGGATCTGTTCTCACCTAAATTGCTATTATACAGCTCATTTCTAAGGAGTCGGTTGCTGCCATTTCTGAGAGCTGCTTGAGGGCCGGCTGAATGAAGTATTTTTGAAAGACTGACCAAAGAATGGAGGCCAGAGAGGAGCGGGCTGTGCAGAAAAGGCAAGTCCTATTTCTTTGTGTATTTCTGGGAATGTCTTGGGCTGGCGCAGAACCGCTGCGGTATTTTGTAGCGGAGGAGACTGAGAGAGGCACCTTTTTGGCCAATATAGCAGATGATTTGGATTTAGGGGTTGAGGAACTGTCAGCCCGGGGATCTAGAATTGTTTTAGACCAGAATATACGTTTTTTACTGCTCAATCCGCTCACTGGTGACTTACTTCTAAATGAGAAATTGGACCGAGAGAAGCTGTGTGGCCCAACAGAGCCCTGTGTACTGCCTTTCCAGCTGTTATTGGAAAAGCCTTTTGAGATTCACCGTGCTGAATTACAAGTCACAGATATCAATGATCATTCTCCAGTATTTCTAGACAGAGAGATTTCCTTGAAAATATCAGAAAGTGCCACTCCAGGGGCGACATTTCTCTTAGAAAGTGCCCAGGATTTAGATGTTGGAACCAACAGCCTGAGTAACTATACCATCAGCCCCAATGCCTACTTCCACGTTAATGTGCATGATGGCGGGGCGGGGAATATCTTTCCTGAATTGGTATTGGATCAAGTGCTGGATCACGAGGAGCTGCCTGACTTCACTTTAACCCTAAAGGCCTTGGATGGTGACTCTCCCCCCAGATCAGGGACGGTCCTTGTACGGATTCTGGTAGTAGACATAAATGATAACGCCCCCGAATTTGTGCAGTCGCTCTACAAAGTGCAAGTACCAGAGAACACTCCGGTTGGCTCACTAGTTGTCACTGTGTCTGCCAGGGATTTAGATACGGGAAGTAATGCGGAAATATTTTACACACTCCTTTATGCTACTGAAAGAATTCTCAAAACGTTTCAAATCAATTCCACATCTGGCAATCTTCTTCTTAAAGCTGAATTGAACTATGAGGCAATTCCAACTTATACATTAACTATTCAGGCCAAAGACGGAGGAGGACTATCTGGAAAATGTACTGTGGTTGTGGAGGTAACAGATGTAAATGACAATCCACCTGAACTTTTCATGTCATCTTTGAGGAGCCAAATTGCAGAAAACTCGCCCGAGACAGTCATTGCTGTTTTTAGGATTAGAGATAGAGATTCGGGAAACAATGGGAAAATGGTGTGCTCCATCCAGGACAATCTCCCCTTCATACTGAAGCCATCTGTAGAAAATTTCTACACTCTGGTAACAGAGGGTCCACTGGACAGAGAGAGCACATCTCAGTACAACATCACCATCACAGTTTCAGATCTGGGGACTCCCAGGCTGCAAACGGAGCACAGCATAAGCGTGCAGGTGTCCGACGTGAACGACAACGCCCCGGCCTTCACGCACACCTCCTACACCCTGCGGGTGCGCGAGAACAACAGCCCCGGCCTGCACATAGGCAGCGTGAGCGCCACAGACAGGGACGCGGGCACCAACGCCCAGCTCACCTACTCGCTGCTGCCGCCCCCAGAGCCGCACCTGGCCCTCGCCTCGCTCGTGGCCATCGACGCGGACAGCGGGCAGCTGTTCGCCCTGAGGCCGCTGGACTACGAGGCCCTGCAGGCCTTGGAGTTCCGCGTGGGCGCCGCCGACCGCGGCTCGCCCGCACTCAGCAGCCAGGCGCTCGTGCGCCTGCTGGTGCTGGACGCCAATGACAACTCGCCCTTCGTGCTGTACCCGATGCAGAACGCCTCTGCGCCCTGCACCGAGCTGCTGCCCAGGGCGGCCGAGCCGGGGTACCTGCTCACCAAGGTGGTGGCGGTGGACGGCGACTCGGGCCAGAACGCATGGCTGTCCTACCAGCTGCTCAAGGCCACGGAGCCCGGGCTCTTCAGCGTGTGGCCGCACAATGGCGAGGTGCGCACCGCCAGGCTGCTGAGCGAGCGCGACGCGCCCAAGCACAGGCTGCTGGTGCTGGTCAGGGACAATGGCGAGCCGCCGCTGTCTGCCAGCGTCACGCTGCACGTGCTGCTGGTGGATGGCTTCTCCCAGCCCTACCTGCCGCTGCCGGAAGCGGCGGCCGAGCAGGGGCGGGGCGACGCGCTCACCTTGCACCTGGTGGTGGCCTTGGCGTCGGTGTCGTCGCTCTTCCTCTTGTGTGTGCTGGCATTCGTGGCGGTGCGGCTGTGCAGGAGGAGCAGGCCGGCCTCTCTGTCTGGCTGTGCGGTGCCCCAGGGCCACTTTCCGGGCCACCTGGTGGACGTCAGCGGTGCGGGGACCCTGTCCCACAGCTACCAGTATGAGGTGTGTCTGACAGGAGGCTCAGAGAGGAATGAATTCAAGTTTTTTAAGCCAATTTTACCTAATTTCCAAGGACATTCCCCTGGATCAGAAATGGAAGAAAAGCTCAACTATAGGAATGATTTAGGCTTCAACATTCAGTTAAAATAATTGTTTCTCATATTCCATAATTTAACTTTGTGATAAATTCAAAGTGGTTTGTTCTGTCTACTTTAAAACACACTAAACTTGTTTAGTTATGTTGTCTCTTTAAAAACAAATTGTATCTCCTCTTTTCTCCCCAAGTACCAGGTGAAGGGTCCTGAACCTTGCTTTTCAAACTCTGATGACGTCTGTAGTCAAGCAAGTCTTTGTTCTGGTACAGATTTGGAATTTGTAATGCAAAAAAGAGTGGAAATTAATTCTACATTATTAATTGTAGCTCTTTGTGTTTTTTTTTTTTGTTATTTGTTAACCCTCTAGGAAAATGCAAAGCAGTCCTGAAGTCCAATCAGGAAGGACAAAGATGGAACAGGATCTGACTCTGGGTTTACTCTGCCTTCATAGCACTAATCTTCTTTGATGTTGTTTTATCTTAATTTGTTATATAATTGTACTTATTGTCATTAGCATACCTGTATTGTTTTTAATATTATTATTTTAACTTGCTTTCCACTTAATTTCATTGGTGTTAAAGGAGGGGAAAAGCTACATCTTATTTACATAGTGAGACAAAGCAGATGGTAAGGAAACTGGCTTTTCCCCAATTTTAAAAAGTTTGGGAAAAGTGCAGTGGTCAATATTCATTTATCTTTCCTTCTTTAGTATCAAATCCCAAATTTCATATACAGTATTTATGTGCTTTGTCAAAAGAACACATTTTCACAGCTTCCTTTGCAGTTAGATCCCAGCACATGACCAAGCAGGTTATATAGTCAATGATCTCTCTCTCTCTCTCTCTGTGTGTGTGTGTGTGTGTGTGTGTTTGGACTTGCATTGTTGGAATCAAACCCAGGGCCTCTTCCATGCTAGACAAGCACTCTGTCACTAAGCAACCCTCAACCTCCAAGACTTCTGAAAGGGAGATGATTCATCTGGGTAGGGATCACCTTTTTTCCTTCCTTAACTTCTGTATTATCCTTGAAATGTGCATGTCATGAGTAGTACACATACAGCTATATTGGAATTTAATGATAGAAACAAAAGATGAAGGCAATCAGTACAGAATGAAAAGAGAGGGTCCCTTGTGACTTTGCAGTTAATGTCACCCCTAGATTGCCTACTTCTAAAGTTCTTTTTAAGTTTTCATGCTACTTTCAGTGGAATCTAATTCTGGGGGTGGTACTGGGGTAGAACTCAGGCCTCACACTGTCCAGATGGCGTTCTATCACTTAAACAACAGTCCCCACCATTTTTGCTTTAGTTATTTTTCAGATAGGTTCTGGTGCTTTTTGCTGTTTTCCAGCCTGGTCCCAGCCTCTGATGGAGCTTCTCCTACCTATGCCTTCAATTTAGCTGGGACCTTGGACGCCAGGCCCCATGATTGGCTTATTGGTTGAACTGGGGTCTTGCTAACATTTTGCTGGAGATGGCCCTGAGTCTCAGTCCTCCTGATTTCTGCCTCCTGAGTTGCTGGAATTACAAGCATGAGCCACCAAACCTGGCTAATTTTTAACAGTAAGTTTTTTAAATAAATTTACACAATGCACATATATAGTAAAATGCACAGATGTTAAATGTAGAGTGTGAGCTGACTTGTCTTTTGATGTTTTATTTCTTGGTTTCTAATCTAGTTAAAAGTAGTAGATAGGGTGCTGTACATTCATTACCTTTTTAATCTTTTCTCAAACTCTAAGGGGCTTAGCATATTATCCCCCTTTTTACATAACAAAACTGAGGCTTAAAAAGGTTAAGTAATTTTCTTATGATTCTCAATAATAAAAGGAAAATTTGAAGTACATTCTAACTCTACATTAATCTAATGCTCCAGCTCTTAACCTATATATATACATATATATATGTAATGTTATACATTATGTTATATAGTACATATTCTATATGTTCTATATATATCTTCAAACCTTAATATTATATATATAGTATGTATGTATAATATATCTTTGGGAAGTTTAAGTTTAGTTTATCATATACATTTTCATAACTTATTAAAAATTAAACATGCTATAACAATTTTAGCATATCATGTGTTTGCAAGCAGTTGCAATGTACATGCAATGTTATGGAGGAATTTTTATGGCTAAATAACTTAGAGATTCTAGAAATTCAGCAGGAAAAACTGCTGGATGCCACTTATTTTCTGCTAAGATTAACCATTTATATCTTTGGTCCTCTTAAAAGATTTACTGTATAAATGTGTGGAGGTCATAAATGACTTTATTCTAAAATAATAACTCATGATAGCTGAATGAGACATTCTTCCATACTTGCTATAATAATACTATTCTTTTGTAGAAGTGATTAATTTTTACTGTTTCAGTTGCTGGGTGCATATGAATCCATGATCATGTTATGTGTCGGGCTTTCTATTGCTGCTGAAAAATGCCACAAACATAGTTGTTTAAATCAATGAAGATATATTATCTTACAGTTTTGTAAATCAGAATTCTGATATGGATCTTCAGAACTAAAATCACGAGTCAGCAGGGATGCACTCATTGTATTCCGGTGGTTCTAGAGAACCCATGTTTTTGTCTTATCCATCTTCTAGATGCTGCCCACATTACTTGGCTCATGGCCCCTTCATCCATTCTCAAAGCCAACCACATTACTTGTCTGGACATTCCTTAATAGTCACATGACCCTCTGATTGTAGAAAGGAAAAGTCCCTATCTCACCCAGATAATACAGGATGATTTTCCCTTTCACAATCCTTTAAGTGATTTAGGTTTGCAAAGATTTTTTTTCCACCAAAGTATCAGAATTATATTTTTGCCATTATCCTGTCTAGCACAGACTAGCTGCTTGGAAGAAAATTATTCAGTCTAACAATATACCATCTATAGCCAAAGGACAGCACATAGTAGAAATTTAGGCCTTATTGATTTGATGCATAATAGTTAAGAAACTTCTAAAATTCTTTAACAAAGACAGTTGATAAAGGTATCATGAATTGTGTGTGTGTGTGTGTGTGTGTGTGTGTGTGTGTGTGTGTGTGTGATCCTGGAGATCAGACTCAGACTCTCATGCATGCTAAACACATGCTTTACCACTGAGCTCCCTGCCCTACCCACCATGAATCTTCAATGTAGTTCAAACTATAGAAATGGAAAACCTGAACCAAAGAATCCAAATATGGCAAGAGTCTTGTATCTGGAATTTATAAGGAACTCTTACAATTCAATTTAAAAAATCATTCAATTAAAAATGGGCAAAGATCTAAATAAACTTTTTTGCAAGGAAAAATGACCACTAAGCACATGAAAAGGGGTCCATCATCATTCATCAGGAAAACACCAATCAAATCATACCCCAAGACCCTACTTCATACCCACTGGGATAGCTACCATCAAAAAACCAGAAAACAGTAATTATTGGAAGAATGTGAGAATATTGGAACCTGAGATACTGCTGGTGGAAATGTGAAATGCTGCAGCTATTTTGGAAAACAGTCTGGCAGTTCCTCAAACATTTAAGCATAAAGTCATCATATGACCAGCAATTCCACTCCTAGAGAAATGAAAACATATGTCCGCACAAAAGCATATACATGAATGTTCATATAGTATTGTCCAGAACAGGAAAAAATGTGGAAACAACACAAATGTCCAAATGAGCATGAGAATCATTCAGTCAAAAAAAGTGATGAATTACTGTACATGCCACAACTTGGATGAACCTTGAAAGCCAGTCACAAAAGTCCATGTATTATATCATTCATGCAGATGAAAGTGTAAAATAGGGAACTCTGTAGAGACAATAACAGATTAATGATAGCTTGGGGCAGAGGGCAGGAGCTATATGGATGCAAGGTTATGTTTTCAGGTGACAAAAATGTTCCAAAATTGACCGTGGTGATGAATGCACAACTCTGTGGATAATTAAAACCACAGAATGCTACACTTTAAATGTATGAATTGTATGCTATGTGGGTTATTTCCCAAAGCTGTGTTTTTAAGGAATAAGACAGTAATTGCTCTTGCCAGAATTTGAAAAGAAAAAGAATCCAAAAAAGTGTGGCAGGTTCAACCTTGAGATCTGCTTATATAGAAAAAAACCTTTGTAATAATTTAAAATTTGTGAGAACTCACAGTTCTCTGTTTTAGATGTTAGAACAAAGCATTTTATTCTATATTAACGCAAATTTAACTCTACTCTTTAAAAATCCATTGGTTGCAATTTTGCAGTGTTCACTCATTTTTAATTTAGTACGATGAAAAATATCCACATGTGAAACTGTTCCCCTGTTACTTCAAAAACATTTTACTCCTAAGTGCATATTCTTCTCAGGTTAAATGTAAATTAAATGATTTTATTTAATAAACACCTCAGCAGCATTCGTCGGTAATATGTGATAGTTTGCTCTTTGTACTATCTCCCGTGAAACATCACAGATCTCTATCTGAACACCTCAAAGCGAGCTGAAAATAGCGTGTTACATTATATAGCCTATTCCCTACATTTTGAAGAATGTCTCCAGTTAAATCAGAAATTGTAAGACTCAGTTAGAACGCATGGTGGCGCTGCAGGTTAAGAAGATGGAATACAGCAATTGTCTCTGCAACTCCAGACAGTCTCTCGCTGCCTGGAAGCAAAAGCTAAGCTTTCTCAGCCAGAGCAAAAGCGATTGAGAAACTTTAAAAGCTTTATTTCGCGGCTTGCTCTGACGTCCTGCACTGCAAGACAGCGCTACAAGGATCCTGAGTGCACGTGAAGCTCCTGTGAACCAAATTTTTAGGAAAGAGCAATGGAGATTGGATGGATGAGAAATCTGAGACAAAGGCAAGTCCTAGTTTTCTTTGTTTTGTTGAGCTTGTCTGGGGCGGACCCTGAGCTGGGGCCCTATTCTGTAGTGGAAGAAACGGAGAAAGGCTCCATAGTGGCAAATCTAGGGAAAGACTTGGGATTGGATTTGGCAGAGATGTCCACGCGCGGGGCTCGGATCATTTCCCAGGGAAACAAAGAGAATTTGCGGCTGAAGGTTCAAACTGGGGATCTGGTCATAAATGAGAAACTAGATCGAGAGGAGCTGTGTGGTTCCATTGAGCCTTGTATTCTACATTTCCAAGTGTTAATGGAAAAACCCTTAGAGATATTTCAGGCTGAACTGAGGGTGCAAGACATAAATGACCACTCTCCCGTGTTCACTGAAAGAGAAATGATTCTAAAAATACCAGAAAATAGTCCCCTAGGAAATGCATTCCCTCTGAGTAATGCTCTGGATTTGGATGTAGGAAGCAATAATGTTCAGAACTATAAAATCAGCCCGAACTCCCATTTCCACGTTCTAACCCGGAGCCGCAGCGATGGCAGGAAGTACCCTGAGCTGGTACTGGAAAAAGAGCTGGATCGGGAGGAGGAGCCTGAGCTAAGATTCAGACTGACAGCTTTGGATGGCGGCTCTCCTCCCCGATCTGGAACCACACAGGTCCGAATTGAAGTTGTAGACACCAACGACAATGCACCTGAGTTTCAGCAGCCAATCTACAAGGTGCAAATTCTCGAGAACAGCCCCGTGGGCTCCCTGGTAGTCACTGTCTCTGCCAGAGATTTAGATAGCGGAGTCAACGGAAAAATATTGTACACACTCTTTCAGCCTACGGAAGATATTAGCAAAACTTTAGAGGTAAATCCTATGACAGGAGAAATTCGACTGAGAAAACAAGTAGATTTTGAAATGGTCCTGTCTTATGAAGTGGACATTAAGGCCACTGATGGAGGAGGTCTTTCTGGAAAATGCACTCTTCTCCTGCAGGTGGTGGACGTGAATGATAATCCCCCAGAAGTGACAATGTCTGCCCTCACCAGCCCCATTCCAGAAAACTCCACAGACATAGTAGTTGCTGTTTTCAGTGTTGCAGATCATGACTCAGGGAACAATGGAAAGACTACTGCCTCCATCCAGGAAGACCTTCCCTTTCTTCTAAAACCTTCAGGCAAGAACTTTTACACCTTGGTAACAGAGAGAGCACTAGACAGAGAAGAAAAAGCAGAGTACAACATCACCATCACAGTTTCAGACATGGGGACTCCCAGGCTGCAAACGGAGCACAGCATAAGCGTGCAGGTGTCCGACGTGAACGACAACGCCCCGGCCTTCACGCACACCTCCTACACCCTGCGGGTCCGCGAGAACAACGGCCCCGGCCTGCACATAGGCAGCGTGAGCGCCACAGACAGGGACGCGGGCACCAACGCCCAGCTCACCTACTCGCTGCTGCCGCCCCCAGAGCCGCACCTGGCCCTCGCCTCGCTCGTGGCCATCGACGCGGACAGCGGGCAGCTGTTCGCCCTGAGGCCGCTGGACTACGAGGCCCTGCAGGCCTTGGAGTTCCGCGTGGGCGCCGCCGACCGCGGCTCGCCCGCGCTCAGCAGCCAGGCGCTCGTGCGCCTGCTGGTGCTGGACGCCAATGACAACTCGCCCTTCGTGCTGTACCCGATGCAGAACGCCTCTGCGCCCTGCACCGAGCTGCTGCCCAGGGCGGCCGAGCCGGGGTACCTGCTCACCAAGGTGGTGGCGGTGGACGGCGACTCGGGCCAGAACGCATGGCTGTCCTACCAGCTGCTCAAGGCCACGGAGCCCGGGCTCTTCAGCGTGTGGCCGCACAATGGCGAGGTGCGCACCGCCAGGCCGCTGAGCGAGCGCGACGCGCCCAAGCACAGGCTGCTGGTGCTGGTCAGGGACAATGGCGAGCCGCCGCTGTCTGCCAGCGTCACGCTGCACGTGCTGCTGGTGGATGGCTTCTCCCAGCCCTACCTGCCGCTGCAGGAAGCGGCGGCCGAGCAGGGACGGGGCGACGCGCTCACCTTGCACCTGGTGGTGGCCTTGGCGTCGGTGTCGTCGCTCTTCCTCTTGTGTGTGCTGGTGTTCGTGGCGGTGCGGCTGTGCAGGAGGAGCAGGCCGGCCTCTCTGTCTGGCTGTGCGGTGCCCCAGGGCCACTTTCCGGGCCACCTGGTGGACGTCAGCGGTGCGGGGACCCTGTCCCACAGCTACCAGTATGAGGTGTGTCTGATGGGAGGTACTGGGACAAATGAGTTCAAATTCCTGAAGCCAGTTATCCCCAGTCTGTCACCCCAGTGTCCTGGGAAAGAAATAGAGGAAATTCCTAGTTTCCGCAATAGTTTGGGAATTAATTATTGATAGAAACCTACTTAATAAAGATGTTTATTTAATATTGTCTTGTTAATTACTAAATTGTTTATGTCCAATTTGTCAATAATTGAGTGCTATTTAACTTTCTGTTTGATTCATCATCAATATCCAATTTTATGCCAACTGCACAATTTCTTTTTCCCATAATTACCCCAATGTATTAGTTCTCACGTAGTCCAATTAATGGAAATGGCCTTGTCTTCAAAGCTGTAAAATTTCTTCCACTTTATACATGTCTTTATTGACTTTATATTAACTTTACATTTTCATATTAGTTTCTTTTTTCCTAGACTTTTTGAACTGTTAAAATATTCTGCTATGTGCAGTATGCATATATACTATCTGCTATTTCCTCTTTTTCTTTCTAAAGTGGTATTTTTATTGGTTAGTCAGCCTTGATTGTCATTATAAAAGTTGTTTTAAGCGATGCTGCTTATTAAAAGCTCTTTTCTATGCTGATATATCTTAAATTTAAATATAAAATTTCTGATATAAGTGATGTGTGCATATATATAATCTCTTACCTGAAATGAGAAGAAAAGTCATTGTAAGATATTCAGTGTGTCGATTTGCTTATATTTGGAGATATAAAGGCAAACTGTAGGCATTCCGTAGCATGGCATGGAAGTAGTTAATAATTTGTTACTTTTAATTTTATATGAAAAATCAGAGTTATCTGTTAAGTTTTTAATGGCTATCAACCCAGTCCTATTCAGTTCAATAACAATAGAAGTCATCAAATGGAGCTTCAGATGCTGTGGCTTTTATTTTAAACAGAGTAAGTTGGCAGTATTTATCTTTTCACTTTACAGTAAGACTTACTGATTGCTGGTGATGGAAACATCATAGCTTCTTTCTATATAATAGACCTTTGAATAAAATTATCAATGAGGCAGATGTTATAATCATATTTTTGCTTTAAATAATGTTAGGATTTGTGTTACTGTGGTCTGTTTTGGCCTTCCTTTATGTGGTTCTGGGATTGAACTCACCTTAATGCACGCAAGGTAAGCACTCTGCCAAGCTCCCAACCCTTTTGTTTATACTTTTTGGTTTTTGAGGTAAGGTCTCACTGATTTTGCCATGGCTGGCCTCAACCTCTTGATCCCTGGACATCTGAGTTCTGAGTAGACGGGATCACAGGTGTGTGCCATCATTCCAGGCCTCCTTCCTTTATTTGATGCAGAAAAATGAGTTCCTATTAGATTTAAATTAAGAGGGACCTTAAAATAAAGATTAGGCCCTTGTTTAACTCTGCAAATAACTTTAAATTTAATATAAGAAAAACAAGGTCTAATGAAAGAAAGGATACAGAAACTGCAAAGTGTGGGTGAATGAAAGAATGCACCTTTCAAATGATAGGGATTAAAGGCACTGAATAATGTTTCTTGTCCTGTTCCCTAACGTTCATTTATGAATGCCTTAATTCAATCAGAATTAGTGACTAATTTGCTGACCAGTGAGGACCATTGCATAGTCCCTGACCTCAAATAGCTCACATATTGAAGAAGGGACACAGTGGTATGAAACAGGAAGCAATACAAGCTAATCCCATTTATATCCATAAGTTTTTATAGGAGCACAGAGGAGGAACAGTCTAAATGCTCAATTCTGATTGCAGAGTAATGATTCTAGGCAATGTAATAAGATGTTGAAGTTTTTTGAAGAAGGTGTGAAACAAGTTTCTTTTGCTAGTTTTTTGTGTCCTAAGCCCAATGTTTCTGGAAAAGTTAAATCTCTTATTTTCATTGCCCAAGAAAGCATACACAATTTTCCTTGGTTGCATGGGAGTATCGTATGTAGTGAAAGGCCTACGATAGAGCTAAATCTACCAGTGAGGCAGAGATGCTGCTAGAAATCTTTTTATACCCCAACTGTTAAAATTTTAACTTTCCCATGAAGCAGCGAAGAATTCAACGATGTGAATAGATCTCTGTCTCAACATTATTTATTCATAAAGCAAAAGGAAAGAAAAATGAAAATTGAAATAGCTATTAAAAGAAAATTTTTAAAAATATATACAGGAACACACAAAAATTGGATACAGCTGTTTTAGTCTTTTACAAACCACGCGGTGGCGCTGCAGGCTAAAGAGGGGGGGAATTGAACTGAGGCTGCTGCAGAAGTCACTAAAAGGGAGATCCCCACAGAAGGACTAGGAGGAAAAGCTGCACCCGCCCAAGACTGGAAAAAAACAACAAAAAAAAATCCTAGATCTCTGCTGCTACACGAAGTACTTCTGAGGTTTACAACTGTTGTTTATGCTGGGTGCTGTGGCTGTGACCCTGTTGACAAAAGAAGAAGCTATGGAGGCCAGGGCTTTGCACTCCCGGAGACAAAGGCAAGTCCTATTTCTCTTTTTGTTCTGGGGAATGTCCTCTGCAGGTCGTGAGTTTGGACATTATTCAGTGACTGAGGAAATAGAAAGAAGATCATTTGTGGACAATTTGGCAAATGATCTGGGGCTAGCGGTGGAGGAGCTGGCTGCGAGGAGAACTAGGGTGGTTTCTGATGATAACAAATGATACTTGCTCCTGGATTCACATACTGGAGATTTGCTCACAAATGAGAAGCTGGACTGGGAGAAGCTGTGCGGCTCCACAGAGCCCTGTGTGCTGTACTTCCAAATTTTAATGGATAACCCCTTTCAGATTTACCGGGCTGAACTGAGAGTCAGGGATATAAATGATCACTCGCCGGTATTTCAGGACAAAGAAATGGTCTTGAAAATCCTAGAAAATAGAGCTGAAGGGACAGTCTTTCGACTAGAAAGAGCACAGGATTCTGATGGAGGACTTAATGGTATCCAAAACTACACGATCAACCCCAACTCTTTTTTCCAGATTACAGTTAGTGACAGTGAGTAAGGCACCATATACCCAGAGCTAGTGCTCTACAAATCCCTGAATTGGGAGGAGCAGCAGGAGCTCAGTTTAACACTCACAGCACTTGATGGTGGATCTCCACCCAGGTCTGGGGGTGCCACTATACATATTGTGGTTGTGGACATCAACGATAACGCCCCCGAGTTTTCCCAAGCACTTTATGAGACCCAAGTTCCAGAAAACAGCCCATTAGGCTTCTTTATTGTTAAAGTCTCTGCAGAAGATATAGACTCAGGAGTCAATGCAGAAGTAACTTATTCATTTTTTGATGCCTCGGAAGATATTCGATCAACCTTCCAAATCAATCCTTTTTCTGGGGAAGTCAGTCGCAGAGCATTGCTTGATTATGAGTTGGTAAAATCTTACAAAATAAATGTACAGGCAGTAGATGGTGGAGGACTTTCTGCAAGATGTACAGTTTAGGTACAGGTATTAGACACCAACGACAACCCTCCTGAAATGCTCATGTCTTCACTTTCCAACGTTATTCTTGAGAACTCTCCTGAAACCATACTGGCAGTTTTTAGGATTAAAGACAGAGACTCAGGAGAAAATAGAAAGATGGCTTGTTATATTCAAGAAAATCTGCCTTTCCTTCTAAAACTGTCTGTGGACAATTTTTACATGCTAATGACAGAAGGAGCACTGGATAGGGAAAACACATCCGAATACAACATCACCTTCACGGTTTCAGACATGGGGACTCCCAGGCTGCAAACGGAGCACAGCATAAGCGTGCAGGTGTCCGACGTGAACGACAACGCCCCGGCCTTCACGCACACCTCCTACACCCTGCGGGTCCGCGAGAACAACGGCCCCGGCCTGCACATAGGCAGCGTGAGCGCCACAGACAGGGACGCGGGCACCAACGCCCAGCTCACCTACTCGCTGCTGCCGCCCCCAGAGCCGCACCTGGCCCTCGCCTCGCTCGTGGCCATCGACGCGGACAGCGGGCAGCTGTTCGCCCTGAGGCCGCTGGACTACGAGGCCCTGCAGGCCTTGGAGTTCCGCGTGGGCGCCGCCGACCGCGGCTCGCCCGCGCTCAGCAGCCAGGCGCTCGTGCGCCTGCTGGTGCTGGACGCCAATGACAACTCGCCCTTCGTGCTGTACCCGATGCAGAACGCCTCTGCGCCCTGCACCGAGCTGCTGCCCAGGGCGGCCGAGCCGGGGTACCTGCTCACCAAGGTGGTGGCGGTGGACGGCGACTCGGGCCAGAACGCATGGCTGTCCTACCAGCTGCTCAAGGCCACGGAGCCCGGGCTCTTCAGCGTGTGGCCGCACAATGGCGAGGTGCGCACCGCCAGGCTGCTGAGCGAGCGCGACGCGCCCAAGCACAGGCTGTTGGTGCTGGTCAGGGACAATGGCGAGCCGCCGCTGTCTGCCAGCGTCACGCTGCACGTGCTGCTGGTGGATGGCTTCTCCCAGCCCTACCTGCCGCTGCAGGAAGCGGCGGCCGAGCAGGGACGGGGCGACGCGCTCACCTTGCACCTGGTGGTGGCCTTGGCGTCGGTGTCGTCGCTCTTCCTCTTGTGTGTGCTGGTGTTCATGGCGGTGCGGCTGTGCAGGAGGAGCAGGGCGGCCTCTCTGTCTGGCTGTGCGGTGTCCCAGGGCCACTTTCCGGGCCACCTGGTGGACGTCAGCGGTGCGGGGACGCTGTCCCACAGCTACCAGTATGAGGTGTGTCTGACAGAAGGTTCTTCTGGGACCAGTGATTTCAAGTTCCTGAAAGTGATTTACCCTAGTATACATGCGTATGGTCCTGGAGGAAAGAGTGAAGGAAACCCCACTTTCTGAAGTAGCTTTGCAGTTAATTTTCCATACAAATTGTTTATAATTTCATGTAGTTTGATGTGCCACACAATTATATCAATATCAATTTAATTTTATGTTAGTTGTCACGTGATACAACTAATTGAATTTTCCAACTTTCAAGTACTCTCCATCCACATTTTTACAATACTTTCTGAAATTTTTTTTGCATGAACAGTTGACTCTGTGCCCATTTATAAATAATACTTTTAAGGTGTTAATTGTATCCAAGGCCACATAGATTTATTATTTTTCATTCTAGAAAGCTGGGGTTTTCAATATTTGGTTTTGTTGCTTTTTGGTTTCATTTTGTTTTTTCTTGCTGGAGTTTGAGCCCAGCACCTGTAATACGCTAGACAAGAGCTCTACCGTTGAGCTATGTAGCAGCCTCTGATATTTGCTTTGTGATCTGCTAAACAGATCATCCTACTAATGCAAATAAAATGTATTAACCTGCATGAAAATCAATATAAATTTTAGCACATTTTCAAATTTTTGTGTGAGAACATTGGTTTGCTATTGGAAAGATATTCATTTTTATTTTACCTTGTAAATTTACAGTCCAATTTAAAAGCAAGAAATATTAAAGATTATGAGGGAAATAATTCCTTTTATCTGCAGTCCCTTTCTACATAGTGGCTTATTATAAAATTGATTTCAATATTTAGGTAATATTTTATACTGTTTTATCTTGACATTCATTTTTATATCGTAGTCATTTCTTGCTTGGATACTTTCCTACATCCCACTGAATAAACATACATACAAACACTTCTTTCTCCTATTTCCTAATAGCATTGTCATAGGTTTCTTTTCTTTTTACCGTTTTGCTTTTGTGGGGTTCTGGGTATCAAACCCAGGGCCTCCAGCATGGTAGACAAGGGCTCTCCACCACTGGTCTACACTATCAGCCTGTAAATTAGACTACCAGTTTGTGCCCATATTGCTAAGATTTCTCCTAAATACATATTAGTGCAATGTGGTTACATTTCCTTTCTTGAAAATATCTTTCCCAGAGCTGATAATTTCTGTTTTGTACCTAGGTAATTTCCTATTAACTGCTAGTGATTTTTCTCTTTTTTTTCCATGCTAGGCTAGCACTCTACCATTGGATACACCCTCCGCCCTTACTACTATTTTTCCAGTCATCCTCACTTTGAATATCAACCTTGTCCTAAAACACTCAAATGTATCAAATACAAATCAATTCCTGGAAGTCTTTCACTCATATCTCTTCTTCATTTAGACTTCTTTCTCTGTAAGCTATCCCCTTTGTTCTCTTTTCTTTTAATATTTTTTCCTCTTGCCCTTTTATAAGAGTAGAGATAATTTTCCTTAGTTTACTCCCTTATCAGACTGACACACATCTCTCAATATCTTCATACAAATGGATGCAAAGAAGTAAAAAAAATTTTTTTGAGACCTTGGATTGTGAAGTAATCTTTTTCTTTTCATTTGATTGATAGTTTGACTGGGTATAAAATTTTAGGTTACAAATAATTTCCTCTCAGATTTCAAAAGCATTGTTCCTTTTGTTGATTGCATAGAATTGTTATTCAGAAGACTGATTTCATTCTGATTCCTACCTCTATTTATGTGATGCATTTTTCTTTCTTTCTGGGAGCATTATAAAAATTTCCTTGGTATTCTGAAAATACCATAGTACTAGCTATTTATTTATTAATCTGTTTACATGGGTTTCCCCTGTCGATGTTTAGACTTTCACTTTCAGTTATGAGAAATTTTCCTTTTATGTTTTACTGTAATCGCTCCCCAAATTTTCACTTTAAGAAGAATCTCAGTTAAATATTGGATCTCTGGGATTGATTCTATAAGACTCTAAGTTTGTTTTCCTTTTTAATATTCTGTCTGTTTAACTCTTGTTTACGTTTTTGCAAGTTTAACCTTTCAACCTTTATATGTAAATTTTTCTGGGTTTGTGGAATGGCTCAAGTGGTAGAGTATCTTCCTAGCAAGCATGAGACCCTGAGTACCACCCAAAAAATTATATGCAAAGGTTTTTTTTGGTTGACATTTATTTTTAAAAGCTCTTTTTAGTTCTCTGAGTTCTCTTCAGTTCTTCATAGTATTCTGTTATATGTAATATCTCTTCTCACATATAATTAATTTATTTGTTCTCTTAAAATGTATTATGAAACTGTGCCATCAGTATTGTTATTATATAAACATTTTTAAAATTAATCAGGGAAGTTAAAAACTTGGCCAAAGTTACATAGCTAGTAAGGAGCATTTAAATCCTAGCCTATTATTTATCTTCATTTTATTGTAACACATGTAACAACATGTATTTCATACAGTTGCTATGAATATTAAATAGACAAATGCATATGAAGCAGTTAGAATAATAGGTGATGTTAGTACTAATTATTAATTATTAGGTTTTATTTCTCTATATTTCTAAAGATACTTTCTTCCATCTGATTATATATATTTCCTCTAGTTCCTTTTTTCATAGCTGTCATGGTGGTTTTGGCCTTTCCATTTCACATTATAGGCTTCTCTTCAAGTGTCTTGTGGTTCTTAAATATGTTCTCATATCCTTAAGAAGATTCTTTATCAAAACGCTGACAATTAAATATTTATAACTGAATGGGTCGTGTTGATGGTGGAGCTGTACTCTACTCCATGCTAGGACAAGGCTATTCCCTTAGGAGACCCACAAATATAGATATATGTAGTTCTTTATATGTGCCTTCCATATTCCTCAGATTAGAATTATAGAACATCCACCACATGGGGGCTGGGTGTCAGGCATATATCATGTCCTACAATCTGAGAATATTACCTGGGAAGGGACTAGAGAGCTCATTACTCAAAATCCAAAGTTTTACTTGCTTTTCTTAGTTTAATTTCATATATCACATTTGAGCTCAGCATTGCCTGAGTCTCCAAGACTAAAGAAAGTCTCACTTAATTTCTCCAGAGCCCCATTACCTGGCTCTCAGTTACTCTCCTGTCTCCATAGAATGGTCAGAGGTACAAAGAATTCAATTCTCCTATGTACAAATTTTCAACTAACAATTTTTTTGTTCTTAACAACTCTAGTCTTCTTATGTACCTAATTCCTACAAATATTTAACATAAATGAGATTGTGTGAGATAAACCCAATAATTTCTTGTATCTTCAGTGCAAGATCTTTAGCTATTTCTTACAACTGCTGAGTTAATTGCTCTTCCATCTTTTTTTCTGTGATCAAAAAATATATACATTCACTTGTGCATTTTAAGTCTTTGTGAGTTTGTATTATTATTATTATTATTTCTGTTAGCTTAGTGGATATCTTAAAAGTAGGGAGATAACCGTGTGTAGTCAGTCCACCTACTTTTCAATTTCTACCTTTTATCCTGCTTGATGTTTTTCAACCATGTATCAGCTTGGTTGACCTTAGCATTTTTAATGCCAACTTTTAGATCTTTCTTTCATTCTTTGTGTACTTCTGAGACCTCCTATAGTCAGCATCATTGATGTGCTCCAAACATTTACTCCAAACAACCACCCTCATTATGTGGGAATCATTCACTTTGGTTAGGACTGAAAATACCCAAGCTTAAGAGGCAGTCCCAACCAGGGTTTTAAAAAAAGGAACAAAGATAGGTGTCCCAATGCTGGGACTAAAAGCTCCACTTATAATGCAATACCTCTTGCAACAAAGACTGCTTCACTAGCAGGAATATGATCTTAGATTACCTCATCACCGTAAAGTTTAAGTTTTTGTTCTGTTTGAGAAAGAATATGTATCTCAGTTTCTCTCCCCAGGCTGAAAAAGAAAGTAACCATAATTGTTATTGATAAACCTTGGGAACCTGAGGGATGCCAGGTTTAGAAATAAGTCTACTTTGAATGAAACCAACATGTTTGAATTTATGTAGTCATTAAATTTTTTGTAAATTGTGAGAAACTGGAACCAAATTATGGATTTATACAATGTGCTCCTCCCCAATATCTGATTTCATTTTCTATAAATCCACAATTCGTTGCTATGAAGGAAATCTACATAAATGCATTCTTGTGCTATAACAGCTATCTAAATATGTTGTGTGTCATGGTAAATCCAATTTCATACCCCTGAGAACTTTTGAAATGATCCATGGACACTTTCTCTCTTTACCACCTAAGGAAGGACAACTTGGGATTTTGTTAAGTGTGACAAGCTGTTATACCCTCCTTGTTTAAGGCTTACAGTCTTCTCAGAAAGATTCAAATTCCTGATGACCAGGAATCACATATTATATTTCTTTATTCTCTACAACTAAGCATATGTAGATGTGTGTGAATGGGGAGGTATACTTAATAACTGTTTTAAAACAAATACGACATCACAAACTATAAATAATGTAAAGCAATTTTTATGAAAAATATACTGTTAATCACTTAAACAATGAATGAATATTTGTTTCTGGGGAGACATTCAATATGAATGAAATTTAGGTAGCTTTTTATCAAACTGTGAAAATCTGTGGAGACGCATGGTGGCGCTGCAGGATAATATCCAGGAAAAAATAACACTGGATAATGCCTTGGGACACTCACCCAAATGCACACAGAGAATTGGCAAGATAGAAAAAACAAGGTGCGGCTTAGAAGCCATTCACAGGGTTAAAATCCTTCGGATTCAGATGATTCCGTGGGCAGATTGAGGGGCAACTTTCCCAGAACTGCAAAGTGGAGCTGAAGCGATTCTGCAGGAAGCAGAAAAGAGCCATGGAGAACGGGGAGAAAGGCAATCTGCTGGTAAGGCAAGTCCTGCTTTTCTTTGTTATGTTTGGAATGTCTCGGGCTAACGCCAAACCTGGGAGCTTTTCGGTGGTGGAGGAAATGCAGAGCGGAGTCTTTGTAGGCAATTTGGCAAAAAACCTGGGACTGGAGGTGAGTGAGCTGTCTTCGCGGGGGGCTCAGGTGGTCTCTAATAATAACAAAAAGCCTTTGCAACTGGATATAAATACCGGGGATTTACGCTTAAGCGAACCGCTAGACCGGGAAGAGCTCTGCGGCTCCACTGAGCCTTGTGTGCTGCATTTCCAGGTATTAATGAAAGAACCCTTGCAGTTTTTATGGATTGAACTTCAGGTCAGGGATATAAATGACCACTCTCCCACCTTCTTGGAAAAAGAAATCGTCCTAGAAATTCCAGAAAACAGTCCAGTTGGTAGCGTGTTCTTACTAGAAAGTGCAAAGGATTTAGATGTAGGAATCAATGCTGTAAAAAGCTATATAATAAGCCCAAACTCTCATTTCCATACTAAAATGAGAATCAATCCAGACAGCAGGAAATACCCAGAGTTAGTTATGGACAAGGCACTGGATTATGAAAAGCAACCTGAGCTCAGTTTCATCCTCACTGCTTTGGATGGTGGGTCGCCACCCAGGTCTGGGACTACCTTAGTTCGGGTGGTGGTCGTGGACAGTAATGACAACGCCCCTGAATTTGAGCATACATTTTATGAAGTGAAGATTCCAGAGAATAGCATACTTGGTTCAATAGTTGCCACTGTATCAGCTTGGGATTTAGATTCAGGAACAAACGGGGAAATAACATACAGCTTTTCCCATGCCTCAGAAGACATTCGAAAGACATTTGAAATGAATCAGAAATCTGGAGAAGTGACTTTAATAGCATCCTTGGACTTCGAAACAATTGAGTCATACTCAATAATTATTCAAGCCACAGATGGGGGAGGACTTTTTGGAAAATCTACAGTCAAAATTCAGGTGATGGATGTGAATGACAACTCTCCTGAAATTGCCGTGTCATCAATTACCAATCCAATACCAGAAAATTTGCCTGAGAATGTAGTTTTGGTTTTTAGTATCCGAGACAAAGACTCCGGCGACAATGGGAGGATGATTTGTTCCACTCCACAAGACCTCCCATTCGTGCTGAAATCTTCAATGGAGAATTACTACACCTTAGAAACAGAGAAACCACTGGACAGGGAGAGCAGATCCGAGTACAACATCACCATCACGGTTTCAGACATGGGGACTCCCAGGCTGCAAACGGAGCACAGCATAAGCGTGCAGGTGTCCGACGTGAACGACAACGCCCCGGCCTTCACGCACACCTCCTACACCCTGCGGGTGCGCGAGAACAACGGCCCCGGCCTGCACATAGGCAGCGTGAGCGCCACAGACAGGGACGAGGGCACCAACGCCCAGCTCACCTACTCGCTGCTGCCGCCCCCAGAGCCGCACCTGGCCCTCGCCTCGCTCGTGGCCATCGACGCGGACAGCGGGCAGCTGTTCGCCCTGAGGCCGCTGGACTACGAGGCCCTGCAGGCCTTGGAGTTCCGCGTGGGCGCCGCCGACCGCGGCTCGCCCGCGCTCAGCAGCCAGGCGCTCGTGCGCCTGCTGGTGCTGGACGCCAATGACAACTCGCCCTTCGTGCTGTACCCGATGCAGAACGCCTCTGCGCCCTGCACCGAGCTGCTGCCCAGGGCGGCCGAGCCGGGGTACCTGCTCACCAAGGTGGTGGCGGTGGACGGCGACTCGGGCCAGAACGCATGGCTGTCCTACCAGCTGCTCAAGGCCACGGAGCCCGGGCTCTTCAGCGTGTGGCCGCACAATGGCGAGGTGCGCACCGCCAGGCCGCTGAGCGAGCGCGACGCGCCCAAGCACAGGCTGCTGGTGCTGGTCAGGGACAATGGCGAGCCGCCGCTGTCTGCCAGCGTCACGCTGCACGTGCTGCTGGTGGATGGCTTCTCCCAGCCCTACCTGCCGCTGCCGGAAGCGGCGGCCGAACAGGGGCAGGGCGACGCGCTCACCTTGCACCTGGTGGTGGCCTTGGCGTCGGTGTCGTCGCTCTTCCTCTTGTGTGTGCTGGTGTTCGTGGCGGTGCGGCTGTGCATGAGGAGCAGGCCGGCCTCTGTGTCTGGCTGTGCGGTGCCCCAGGGCCACTTTCCGGGCCACCTGGTGGACGTCAGCGGTGCGGGGACCCTGTCCCACAGCTACCAGTATGAGGTGTGTCTGATGGGAGGTACTGGGACAAATGAGTTCAAATTCCTGAAGCCAATTATCCCCAGTCTGTCACCCCAGTGTCCAGGAAAAGAAATAGAGGAAACTCCTAGCATCCGAAATAGTTTGGGGTTCAATATTCAGTGACCATAATTGATTTTGTATTCCCTACGTGTTTTATTTGTGCCTATTCCAAACCAGTGTTTATTTCTCCCAATTTGCATGTATTTTAAGCTCTACTACTGTTCTTGCATATGTTCTTGTGTTTACCTCCATTGCTTTTAGATCAATGTTGAACTTTAGTTGTAGTTGTAGTGAGATGGTAATTTATTCTCTTCCACAGGAGAGGTGAATATGCAAGTAATTTGTTTCCTTAGTTGTAGCAAAATCACTTTTTATCCATGTCTTTCTCTCCAGTTGAATTTCCACCTACACTTACACAAATGATAAAATAAAATAGACTTCTCTAGAAGTAATTTAGTATTCAGCATCTTTCGATGGAAACTTCTTATTGTAGTTTTTCTTGTGGCTTAATGGGTGCAGTTCACAAAACATTGTTCTTTTAAAATCCATTCCATTTCAGTTAGCATTTGAAAATTTTTAGTACTATTGAAAATACACATAAAAATTGTGTGCTATGCTTCATTCAGTATAAAAGATAGTAAGAAAGGGCCAAAAGAGGGCTGTGAATATGGCAGATCCTTGGATACATTCCAGTACAGAAAAAGGGGAGTGGAGAAGACAAGTTTCTTAGTAACCCTCCCTTATTCATTCTGGAAAGTGATTGTAATGGAACATTAATAGTGTGGCCACTTGAGGAATCTTGGAATAGGAAGTCATCATTTTCCACATGTCTCACTAATTGTTAGAAAGCCAGAATACAACCCAGATGAACATAGGCATCTGGATAGTAATTAGTATCACATTAAATGGACTTGTATGCTAAATGTACAAATTTTACCTGTGTTCTCCCAGAACTGAGAACTAAATTTCATACTTCTTTTTATCATGCCAATAGTAAAACTATGCTATATATAGTATGTAACACTAAAGCATAACAGAAAGAAGCATTTTGTAGACAATGCTTAGTGATGTAACTTGATATCACTTATAGTGTTCTGTGGTCTTAAACTTTCAAATGTGGTTATGATTCACTAAACTGATCTTACAACTTATCAGTGGGTAACAAAAGTTTGATGGCCACTTTTCTTAGAGATACATGTGAAGCACTAAGAAGTTTCAAATGATTATCCTCTATGTTCTAATTTTAAATAAGAACCTCAAACCATTGTGGTAGGAAGTTGTATTTGTTACATAGTCACCAGCCAACCATTCTTTCTTTATCAATGTAACTTACATGAAAAAAAAGGCCTCCATGGCTAGGAAAAAAGTTTCCTGTGGTTTTTCCCAAAAGTCTAAACTCTATGTGTTGTGGAAGGAAAATGTAGAAAAACAAAATGAGTAATCATAAAGAAGTAAAGGTAGTGTTTGATATGTGTATGTGTGTGTCAGAGAGAAAGAGAGAGAGATAATGAGTAAGAATGAGTAAGATGACTGCTTCTAGTGCCACTGAGTAGAATCAAGGCCAGAAATTATCTCTTGAAGATATATTAAAACTTTATCTTAACATTGTAAAGGGGCTGTGTATTAGTCAACTGAAAATTCCAGGAAATACAGTCTTGCTCTAGCGTTTCCAAAAAACATCTTTTTGAAAACTAGGATTTTACTACAAGTGTCTTGAACCAGGAGGACCAACTCGGACTCTTCATTTCCAAGAGAAATGGGAGAGTAGAAGTCAAATGTAGTACACACATGCTAATTAAATTATAAGTTTCTATTTTCAGAAGTAGAACCAGGATCAAGTTCTTTTTCCCCAAATGAAAGCTTCTTTACATAGAGAAGAAAAGCTCAGGATATTAGATCAAAGCCAGGTTTAAGATTACCTCCATATTTATTGCATTTGGTGGGGGAAAATGGAAGTCACTAGTTTAAACAGATATAAGACATTATAGCATGCCAGGCAAGATACATAAACTACTGAAGGTGAAAAGTAAAAATGGTCACTTTATGTACAACTAGACTAGCTATAATCAAAAGACACACAAGACAATTATAAAATGTTGGCAAGGATGTGAAGAAACTGGAACTGTATAGGTGGTGGGACTGTAAAAATATTATGGCACTTTGGAAAACAGTTTGCCAGCTCTTCAAAATGTTACACATGCAAGTATTATAGAACTCAGAAACTCAGTCTCTATTCATCCAAAAGAAATAAAAACATGCCTATACAAAATGACTTACAGACAAATGTTCATAGAAGCACTAGTCATAACTAGGAATGGAGAAATCTCAATATCCATAAACTGATGGATGGATAAATAACATGCGATATCTCCATTTCATTGCATTGTGCTGAATGAAGTACTGGCACATGCTACAACATGGATGCACCTTAAAAATATTATGCTAAGTTAAAGAAACCAGTCATAAAAGACACATATTGTATGCGGGTTTTTTTTTTTTTTGGTGGTACTTGAGTTTGAATTCAGGGTCTGTGCTTGTTGGCCTCCTGCTGCCCTTGTCATACTTTTTTTGGCAGTACTAGGGTTTGAACTCAGGGACTCAATGCTTGCAAAGCAGGTGTTCTACCCCTTGAGCCACTCCACCAGCCTTGTATGTTTTTACATATATGAAATAGTTGAGATAGGCCAATTCATAGACAGAAAGCAGATTAGTGATTATCTAAGGCTGTGGATAGTATGAGTGTGGAGAGTAATTGATAATGGGTACAAGGGGATCATGAAAATGTTCTAAATTAGAGATCATGGTAATAACCACACAACTATAAGTATACTAAAAACTATTGATCTGTACACTTTAAATGGGTGGATTAAATACCATGATGTTTATGTGATATCTCAATAAAGCTGTTGAAATAATGGTAGAGTAGTTCTAGATGCCTGTGGTCTCAAGTGAGCTGGGTCTTCTCTCATCTACAATGGAGGTAGAAAGAGTAACTCAAAAAGCCCAGGCAGAAAAATCTAACAGATACAACAATACAGACAAGGACCAGGCACTTTAATGTTGTAAGTTCTTACAGATGTATCAGCAGCAGGACTTCTCTACTTGTGGAAGGAACTGTATGTTTTCTCTCTTAAAAGGAGAGTGACCAAGCCTTCAGGATCCTGAATGCCCAGACACAAGTAACCAACCAATCTCCTAAATCTTTTTACTAAAAACAAGTTTCTATCTTATTCTTCAAATATCTCATTATTAGCTAAATTTAAACCAGTGCATACAAATTAAGCTGCACCAGACAATTTTATAACAAAAGGCTGCAGGAAATGGTGATATATACAATGGAGAAGAGTTACTTAGAAAATAGAGATGAAAGAAATTATTGAGCCTCCCAGAATGGTTTTTTCTTGAAAACTTGTAAAAGCCAAATAACAGTTTATTTTGGAATTAGCCAAAAGTATTGAAGAAGATGAAATAATAGCATTTTAGCTTACAAATACATAGTTCCCCTCATCTTCTTTTCAACCTCAAGTTCTGCCCCCACTTTTTGGCACACTAATCAATCTAAAAAAACGACTTTTCCATCACCAGGTCTTCACCTAAACTCCAGTTATTGCCCTGGCTACATCCTACACTTTTTCTTCACCAAGAATTGTTCTTTCTGTGATATAATTTTAATTGTCTCCTTCTAGAACACAATCTTCTATGTCTTCCATCCATTCATGATGCTACCTCTATCACTTTTGTATTGTTGATTACAATTGATCCTATCAGGGTCAGACATGATGCTGCTACAACATATCAACCATGTTCTGTTTTAATTTCCTCTCTATTTTGCTGATTCCTTGGTTTTCTGCTCCCATTCACTCTCATACCCATATCTTTTGTTCCCTTATTCAATTTTCCTTCACTAAAACCACCTAATAAAGCTCCACTCAGTATGAACACAATTGTCTTCTTCCTTCTCTCTTAACACTTGATTTGCTGTACTCTATAAGACAAAAATTACATGAATTATTAACATCGTTGACACTATAAATTTATCATATCCAAATTTAGTTGGATACCAGGGTCAAGAAATCCTTTTAGAATTTTCTAATGAGTTTTCTCTTCCAGTCTCCGCAGCTATTTAAATCCTATTTATCTTGAAGCCTTTTACCCTACTATCTATGTGCTCCTTTTTATCACACAAACTTGCCTAATATCTACAAAGAAAATAGAACCCATCAGATGAAATTACCTCAATTTCCTGTCCCAAGTCTTCAGCTTGACAGCTTCTGTATAGATACTATTTTCTTGTTGAAGCCTTCCCGTCTAAGTCAATTTCTTGATGCAGCACCTGGATCCAATCTTTACCACTATTTAGGGGCCTGCCATGAACTGACTCTTCTATATCTTAATATTCTCTCTTTCTACTGCATATTAAGCATCAATATTTTAATATGTTCAAGTTTCTCTAGTCTTAAAAAAACTCTTGAGCCTTGATTTTTCTCCAAAAACAACCTATTTTTTTCTTTTATAGACTTTTCTTCCCTTATAACTTTCTTGCAACCCTTTTCTACCCTCAATTTTGCCTTATCATCCCTCATATTTTCATCCTACAGTAATCTAATTTTCATTGAAATCACTGTACTGAAAATGCTATTGTACACATTATCAAATATTTCTGTATGAGTTCAATACTGTTACATTGCTGAAACAGAGTTGAAACTAGACAATGGCTTGCAAAAGAATATATCTCATATGATAGTTCCAATGTAAATGATTCACTAGAGCAGTGCTGCCCTTTATAGTACTTGCAGAACAGAATTTCCTTCCAATTAATTGCTTCCACATTGCCTATGAAAAGATCATAATCTGCTTGGCTATAGTTGGCCACTACCAAATTTGGGTTCTAGCTTGCTTGGAAGGAAGAAGCAGATACAGATCTCTACTGTTACATTCCTGCATGTGGTGAACAAAAATTCTGCTTTAAATCCTTCAGTGAGAACTTAATTCACTTGGTCACAGCTAACTACAAAGGGAGCTGAGACAGGCAATCTATCTCAATAGCCATGAACCTGGGTACACTTCTATTAATGTAGAAGAAAATTAGTACAGATTTTAGCAGACATCTGTCAGTCCTCCACAATGATCATCTTAAATTCAATAGACAACTTTAACACTTTTTTCTTGACTTTTCTGAAGCATTGGGTGTTGGTACTTTTCCTCATTTCCTTGAAATGTTATTTGCTTTTGGTTCCATCATTTTGAACTCTGGCTCTTCCCTGTCTTTAAAAAGATACCTCTTTTCCTCTTGCCTTGAAATAAAAGTATTTTTCAGGGTTCTGAGCTAAGTCTTTTGTGGTCTTCCTGGACACAGTTTTGTTTGGTTATCCTAGAGCTCTCCATGGAACAGTCATCCTTGTACCTGTGGAACATTGGTTTTAGGACACCATGGATAAAAAATTTCATGGGTGCTAATGTCTCTTTTATTATTAAATAGAGAATAATTTTTCTATAACCTATGCAAATCTACTCACATACTTTAAATCACCTAATATTACTTATAATACCTAATATAAATGGTGTGTAAATAGTTGGTATAATAGATTTTTAGAGGATAATAAATACAAATATGACACTAGAAATAAGTGCTATTACTACCCTAGCTTATACATAGGGAAACAAAGGTAAATATTTTGCTCATGTCTATAGACAGTGGCAGAACCAGGATTCTAATAATGACACTTTTGTTGCAGAACCCAGGTTAATAAGCATTATCTTATACAACTTGCTGGGCACATGGGCACATTTGCCTTCTAGGTATTTCTATATTATTCTTTACACATACATCTCCATAATATTTTAATTACTAGTGTGCTGATTTTATTAGCCTGCTAACTTCTGAAAGACAAGATTATTTCTATTTCATATGTGTCATATTCTACATTTTTTTTATTCTTTTATTATTCATATGTGTACACAAGGCTTGGGTCATTTCTCCCACCTGCCCCCACCCCCTCCCTTACCACCCACTCCACCCCCTCCCTCTCCCCCCAACCCCCTCAATACTCAGCAGAAACTATTTTGCCCTTATTTCTAATTTTGTTGTAGAGAGAATATAAGCAATAATAAGATAGGTTAATTCTTTTTGATCTCACCTTTTCTCTAGTTCCTGGTCCCCTATTCCTATTGGCCTCAGTTGCTTATGAGGTATCTGCTTTAGTTTCTCTACATTAAGGGCAACAAATGCTAGCTAATTTTTTAGGTGTCTTATCTATCCTCACCCCTCCCTTGTGTGCTCTCGCTTTTATCATGTGCTCAAAGTCCAATCCCCTTGTTGTGTTTGCCCTTGATCTAATGTCCGCATATGAGGGAGAACATATGATTTTTGGTCTTTTGGGCCAGGCTAACCTCACTCAGAATGATGTTCTCCAGTTCCATCCATTTACCAGCGAATGATAACATTTCGTTCTTCTTCATGGCTGCATAAAATTGCATTGTGTATAGATACCACATTTTCTTAATCCATTCGTCAGTGGTGGGGCATCTTGGCTGTTTCCATAACTTGGCTATTGTGAATAGTGCTGCAATAAACATGGGTGTGCAGGTGCCTCTGGAATAACCTGTGTCACAGTCTTTTGGGTATATCCCCAAGAGTGGTATTGCTGGATCAAATGGTAGATCAATGTCTAGCTTTTTAAGTAGCCTCCAAATTTTTTTCCAGGGTGGTTGTACTAGTTTACATTCCCACCAACAGTGTAAGAGGGTTCCTTTTTCCCCCGCATCCTCGCCAACACCTGTTGTTGGTGGTGTTGCTAATGATGGCTATTCTAACAGGGGTGAGGTGGAATCTTAGTGTGGTTTTAATTTGCATTTCCTTTATTGCTAGAGATGGTAAGCATTTTTTCATGTGTTTTTTGGCCATTTGAATTTCTTCTTTTGAGAAAGTTCTGTTTAGTTCACTTGCCCATTTCTTTATTGGTTCATTAGTTTTGGGAGAATTTAGTTTTTTAAGTTCCCTATATATTCTGGTTATCAGTCCTTTGTCTGATGTGTAGCTGGCAAATATTTTCTCCCACTACATATGTATTTTTAAAATATTAAAGTGAGGATCTGATAATATCATGTCTTAGGCATATAATAAGTTTTGTGTGCTCTTTATTCCATTTCATATACATACATATGAAAAAATTAATGATGTTACTCATTATAATTGACTGAAGTTAATATATAGTTGCAAGCATGAAGGAGAGACTACCTTTGTAACTACTAAAAAATTAGCTCTATAAAATATTTCTACACTTCAGAAAATTATAATGGATCCTTTTAATGAAGAGTGTAGATCTTGTTTGGATTCTGATTCAAACAAACCAACACTAAGAGGTACTTTGCTAAGAATGGGGAAAGAGAAAACAGGCTGACTATAAATTACATCAAGGAATTTTTGGTATTAGCTAATTGAGCTAGTGGTATTGTAGTTATATTTTAAAGGCCTTACATATTAAAAAATAATTAAGTATTAAGAGTTCAAAAATGCAAGATACCTAAATATAGTTTTTGAAAATCCCAGTTGTATTCATTGATTTTTTTTCAAAAAAGAAAAAACATTTAGTGTAAAATTCATAGAACACATGGTGGCGCTACAGGATAAGAAGAAAACAGTGCAAAGCTAGCACTGTGGACTCCATTATTCAGAACAGTGAAAACCCAACCCACTCAGAAGGGACATATTAAAGGAGCTTCACCTACAGAGCTGCCAGAGTGCTAGATCTTTTCCGGTGGGCTTCCTAAAGAATCATCAGAGCTTTAACTTCCAAAATTGGGACTGGATTTAAATTTGACAACAAAAGAGGTTGACTGAAAGAACCATGGGGATCAGAGAGGTGCTTGGTCTGCAAAAAAGGCAAGTCCTGGTTTTCGTTGTTTTTCTGGGATTATCTCAGGTGGGTACCGAATCTGCACGCTATTTTGTAGCAGAGGAAACAGAAGTTGGCTCTTTTGTGGCGAATCTGGCAAGAGACCTGGGGTTAGGGGTGGAGGAGCTGTCCTCACGGGAGGCCAGGGTGGTGTCTGATGATAATGAAAAGCATTTGCACCTTGATTTGCTGACTGGAGATTTGCTCTTAAATGAGAAATTGGATAGAGAAGAGCTCTGCGGATCCACAGAGCCCTGTGTGCTGCCTTTCCAGGTGTTATTAAAAAACCCTTTGCAGTTCTTTCGGGCTGAGCTGCACATCAAAGATATAAATGATCATTCGCCTACATTCTTAGACAAGGAAATAATTTTGAAAATATCAGAAAGTACTACTATTGGAGCAAGATTTCTAATGGAAAGAGCTCAAGATCTGGACATAGGAAGCAATAGTCTCCAAAACTACACTATTAGCCCCAATTCTCATTTCTACATTAAAATTCAAGACAGTGGTGATGGAAAGATATACCCAGAACTGGTTCTAGATAGAGCATTAGATCATGAAGAGGAATCAGAGCTTAGATTGACACTCACAGCACTGGATGGGGGATCTCCACCCAGATCAGGGACAACTTTGGTTCTCATCAAGGTCCTGGACATCAATGATAATGCTCCTCAGTTTGCCCAGCGACTGTATGAGGTGCAGGTCCCAGAGGACACACCTATTGGCTCCTGGATTATCACCATCTTTGCTAACGATTTGGATGCAGGAAATTATGGGAAAATATCTTACACATTTTTCCATGCATCAGAAGATATTCGTAAAGCCTTTGAAATGAATCCACAATCTGGGGAAGTTCACTTGAAATCACAGCTAGATTTTGAAATAATTCAGTCCTACAAAATAACTATTCAGGCAATCGATGGTGGGGGACTTTCGGAAAAATGCACTCTTTTAGTTAAAATATTAGATATAAATGACAACCCACCGGAAATAACCATGTCTTCAGTCACAAACAGTATTCAAGAAAATGAACCGGAGACTCTTGTGGCTGTTTTTAGTGTCCGAGACCAAGATGCTGGCGACAATGGGAGAATGGTTTGCTCTCTTCAAGAGGACCTCCCCTTTGTCCTGAAACACACCTACAAGAATTTCTTCTCCTTGGTTACTGAAAAACCACTAGATCGAGAGTTGAGAGCTGAATACAACATCATGATCACCATCATGGACTTAGGAATACCCAGACTGAAAACGGAGCACAACATAAGCGTGCAGGTGTCCGACGTGAACGACAACGCCCCGGCCTTCACGCACACCTCCTACACCCTGCGGGTGCGCGAGAACAACGGTCCCGGCCTGCACATAGGCAGCGTGAGCGCCACAGACAGGGACGCGGGCACCAACGCCCAGCTCACCTACTCGCTGCTGCCGCCCCCAGAGCCGCACCTGGCCCTCGCCTCGCTCGTGGCCATCGACGCGGACAGCGGGCAGCTGTTCGCCCTGAGGCCGCTGGACTACGAGGCCCTGCAGGCCTTGGAGTTCCGCGTGGGCGCCGCCGACCGCGGCTCGCCCGCGCTCAGCAGCCAGGCGCTCGTGCGCCTGCTGGTGCTGGACGCCAATGACAACTCGCCCTTCGTGCTGTACCCGATGCAGAACGCCTCTGCGCCCTGCACCGAGCTGCTGCCCAGGGCGGCCGAGCCGGGGTACCTGCTCACCAAGGTGGTGGCGGTGGACGGCGACTCGGGCCAGAACGCATGGCTGTCCTACCAGCTGCTCAAGGCCACGGAGCCCGGGCTCTTCAGCGTGTGGCCGCACAATGGCGAGGTGCGCACCGCCAGGCTGCTGAGCGAGCGCGACGCGCCCAAGCACAGGCTGCTGGTGCTGGTCAGGGACAATGGCGAGCCGCCGCTGTCTGCCAGCGTCACGCTGCACGTGCTGCTGGTGGATGGCTTCTCCCAGCCCTACCTGCCGCTGCCGGAAGCGGCGGCCGAACAGGGGCAGGGCGACGCGCTCACCTTGCACCTGGTGGTGGCCTTGGCGTCGGTGTCGTCGCTCTTCCTCTTGTGTGTGCTGGTGTTCGTGGCGGTGCGGCTGTGCATGAGGAGCAGGGCGGCCTCTCTGTCTGGCTGTGCTGTGCCAGAGGATCACTTTCCGGGCCACCTGGTGGACGTCAGCGGTGCGGGGACCCTGTCCCACAGCTACCAGTATGAGGTGTGTCTGATGGGAGGTACTGGGACAAATGAGTTCAAATTCCTGAAGCCGATTATCCCCAGTCTGTCACCCCAGTGTCCAGGGAAAGAAATAGAGGAAACTCCTAACATACGAAATAGTTTGGGGTTCAATATTCAGTGACCATAACTGATTTTTGTTCCCTACGTGTTTTATTTGTGCCTATTCCAAACCAGTGTTTATTTCTCCCAATTTGCATGTACTTTAAGTTGTATTGATGTTCTTTTGTATATTGTGTTCCCTTACTTTGCTTTTTTGTCCCATAGCTATCAGTATGAGATGTGTCTGGCAGGAGGTACTGGGTCAAATGAGTTCAAATTCCTGAAGCCGATTATCCCCAATCTTCAAGTTCATGACACTGGTATGAATGTGCTGTAAAAGGCGATCTTTAGGAATAGTTTTGCATTCAACATTCAGTGAAACTGTTTCTTTAAACTTTTAATTTACTGTTACTCCTTGCAAAATGCAGATGGTTTTTTGCCTAATCTGTAATGTATCTTTTGTACAGTTCTCCTGTGTATTTGCATTTCTCATGCTGTTCTCATATGTGTTTAAAAAACCTTCATTGGGAAAAAATTATTTTAAAAAACCCAACAAGCAGTGAAGGAAAAAAACAAATTAAAAAAAAACTTCATTAGAATATATAATTAAAATTAAATCTGTGCTTTTCTTACTCTTATTTTGTCAAAAATATTATATTAATGAAGTTGCTGTTGTTATTATGGTAACAATATTGTTGTGCAAGATAATATCATTAATAATTTGGAGATGCAAACTGGGGATGGGGATGTAGCTCAGTGGAAGAGCGCATGCATACAAGAGACTGTGGGTCTGAACCACAGCAGGAGAGAGAGAGAGAGAGAGAGAGACAGAGAGAGAGAGAGAGAGAGAGAGAGAGAGAGAGAGAGAGAGAGGAAGGAAGGCCAAATTTCACTTTATATGTAAGTTACTTCTATACACCATCAAAACATAGATAAAACAAAATTTTAAATATTGTTGAATCTGGGTGGAAAACAGTTTGGATGAGTTGCATTATTCTCTATAAAAGTTTTCATCATAAACTATAAAAAATTGTGACCCTGCCATACTCAGTACCTTAGATCTTTGTTTTATGCAGTATTTTTAAAAATTCATTTTAGATGAAGTTAAAGTGGCCACATTGGATAAAGAATCTCAAAGTATTCTGAGACTTGATATTGTTAATTTTTTATTATATACATCAGGCTTACTTCTTTAAATTTTGGGTTGTTTTACAAAAGTTATTACTAAAACAGAAAGTCATTCAAAGTCTCATCCCAAGTAAAATAACCTTCCATCAGAAGACAAGACAAAAACTCCAGAAATTGAAGATATTTAGCTTTAAAAAATGACGTGCGTTCCCCTTCCTAATCATTAATAAAAGGAAATACAAATCTAGATGTGGTGGCACATCTTGTAATCTCAGCACTCAGGAGGTAGACTTTGAGCTACATAGATAGACCTTGTCTTAAAAAAAAAAACCGTAAACATAAGAACTAGCAGTACTCATGGTAGAGTACTTCCCAAGCAAGCACAGGGCCCTCGGTTTAATACCCCCCAAAAAAGAGTAAATATGTGGGCTAGAAGTATGCTCAGCATTTCAGATGCCCAGAGTTCAATCTGTGGCACATATACACATATATACCTGTATACATAATATGTATGCATATAATCATTAATACTTTTGTGGCCTGTCTCAGAAGCCCACAAAGAAAGATTATAGGTCTGTATTTATGGTTTATAGATGCCTCATTTTACAAATTATAATGTTCCAAATCCATAAATGGACAGTTCACTGAATGATTATAGGTATTATAGGTAGAGATGTTGATAACTAGAATGCAGTACAGATACAGGGCTAATATGCATATACATTTTAGTAATTGTCCTCATAAAATTCAATATTATGAATTAGATAATGTAGTAAAATGGAATTTCATTTTGCCATTGTGAAACAGATAAGAAAAATTCTAATTTCCTTAGGAATCCTTTTTCCCTTCTGGTTCATGCAGCTTTAATCCATTTTATTTTGTATTGTAACAGGTATTTATTAGTGCTGTGAACTTCACTTAACATTTAAACCACAACATCCTGAAAGGAATGGTTGGACCCTCTTTATCTCTAAGTCCTCAGAGCTAAAACTATAACTATGAAAGCTACTGATGAGTCCAATAAATAGTGGTCAGTCAGAGAAAAAAAGCATTGAAAGAATGTAAGAAGATATAAAATTGTGAAATAGAAAAATGAATAACAGAAGTGTATTTTTACCCCTACAATTAAAAAATAGCAATGAACTCTGTTTCTGGGTTAACAAAGAAGACAGAAAACCTTTATGGAAAAAAATGAATGAGATCAATTAAGTAAATGAAATAATTAAATCCTAATAAACTAAGAAAGATACAAGTTGTTTAAAACCGCATGATAAATATGTCTATTCTTCCCCAAATAATTTGTAAATTCAATAAAAATTCATGACAAAAAGTGAAGTTCTACAAATGGTTCTCAATATTAACATGGAAAAAGTTGCATACAGGGGGCTGAGGGTATGGCTCAAGCAGTAGAACACCTGCCTAGTAAGTGCAAGGCCCTGAGTTAAAACCCCAATACAACCATAAACAAAAGTTGCATACAGAGCCAAAAGAATTTTTAAGAAGAAAAATGGGGCATGTCTTACATTATGGATATTAGGATATGTCAAAATATGATATAAATAAAACTATTTGAATGATTCAGAAACAGACTCAGAGACCACTACATAGAATAAGATCTTTTACACAAGAGAACTTGATCATGCTACCAGAGGTGTCAACCCACTAAGGGAGGGAGAAGAGCGATTACTTACTTATCAAATGTTATTGGGGGAATGGGATTACTAAATAAACAAAATTTATATCTCCTGTCGTATAAAAATAAACTCAATATAAATCCAAAAGGCAAATCTGAAATATTTGGATAGGAAAAGTGAAATAAATCTAAGTAAAAATACCTTTGAAAACTTAGCACTGTCTTGGATTTTCAACAAGTCTTTATAATAAAAATATAAACTAATGAATATTACTACTTCAAAACTAAAGGATAACAAAAACTAACAGATGAGTGAGAGAAGCTTGCAATACTGAGAAGGATTAATATTTAGATTGTTCAAATAGCTCTTGTGAATCACCAAAAGGCCAAAAAGCCAGGAGAGCCAATAGGATGTTTTTTTAAAGGACAAAAGGCAGAGCATGGTATATATATATCTATAATCCCAGCACTCAGAAGGCTGAGGCAGAAAGATCTGAAGTTCAAGGCCTTTCAAGATCCTGTCTCAAAATAAGTAGATAAAAAGGAAAAAAAGAGAGAATAAAATTTAAAAAGGTAGAAGCAGAAAGTCTGAAAAGTAATTGATTTAATCTCTTTAGTTTTTGAAACAGGCACTAAAATGAGACATCAATTTACATCCATAATATTTGTAAATTTGAAAAGATTGGACATTATCAAATGGGCTAATAGGAAATTACATATACAGCCTACTAGAGAGTTTTCCAATAATATTAGTGAAAATTAACACATATATACTCTATGATTCAACCATTCTACTTTGGGATAGATAAGGCAGCAGCTCCTATAGAGCTTCACAAAATGTTGTATATGAGCTTGTTCATCTTGGAAAAACAAAGAATAGGAATCCACATATATGTCCACCCACAGTAAAGCAACCTATAAGTAAAACGTAGAACATGTTTGTGAAGGATTATTCTTCAGAGATCAAAAGGAGTGAGCTAGGTGTGCATAGAACCACCTGGATAAATCTCAAATGTTTTAAAAGAAACAGATTTATAGCACAGTGATGTAAGTGGATAGATATATAGTGGATAGATGTACAGTGATGTAGGTGGATAGATGTATAGTGAGATAGATATTGATAGAATTATCACTACAATATATAATTGTAAAAATATGCAAATATATAAATGCAAATATTGGAGGAAAGGGAGAACAGATATAAGAAAGAACATATATATACATTTATATACATGAATATATAGGGCACATGGAGATATATGGACAAGTTTTGTATATAGAAGGAAATTTGTGGAAACTAATACCAGTGTAAATAACGGAAGATTTTCTTTCAAGAGATTGCTTAAATTGATTGCATCATTAAGGAATTGATTTGATATTGATCAGTTGAAGCTGATTTTAAACATATATAATTTATCTAGCCTCTCAAGAAGACTGTCAAGAAGACAGTCATATACCAGAGAGGCTAAGAGTTTACTTCTAACTGTGAGGTGTGAAAATATCCCTGAGGCTTTGTATTTTTTAATAAGGATTGTACAGTTTATATAGAACAGTGTTCTCACTGGAAACAACTGGCCAGTAAGGCACTGATATATTATCAAGTCAAATCAATGTTAAAAGAAAACACAGAGAGATAAACAAGAACAAAATCTGGTTTTCCCCTGAGGACATTTGGGATCCTGGGAAATTTGAACCTTCATTTCAATGGTTTATATAATGATGGGGAGAAATCAAAGCCTAACAAAGTGAGAAGTTTACGAGTTTACAGAGCCCTTAAGAAGCATGGATCTCTAATAAGTATACCTATAAGGTAGGAGTAAACTGGAAATTCATGGGCCCTTGTGTGGGATTTCAGCCTTCAGCTTTTTTTTTAAGATTAGCAAAGGTTTATTTAGTAAAGAAGAGAAAAGCAGGGAGAAATAGAAAGAGAACAGAGCACCCCCTGGCACACAGTGGGTGGGAACAGAGAGATTCCTCAACTTGGCTTTTAACCTTAAACTTGATTTGTGATCATTGGCAGATAGTAATCAAATGTCCTGACAGATCAAATACAGATCTTCTATAAAAGTTTTACTCATCCTAAGCTAACCCTATAGATTCAAGTATTTTTATGTTCTTAACTTTGTAAGTGCATACATAAGGAACCATAATACCATAAGTGAGAGTCAGTAGGGAAAAAAACACAGAAATGCAAGCTATTCAGCTATTGCCATTATCAGACAGTCTATATCATACTGGGCATGTTAGTTGAAATAAACTTTTGAAGATGTAGAGGGAACAGGAAACTATAAAAGTAACAGATTAGAAAAGAACAAAATAAAACTTCCAATAATAAAAACATGCTGATTAAAAATTTAAAACTAAATAAGGAACTTAATAAAATTTAGACAACAAAATAGAGAATTAATGAAATGAAAGATGTTAAAATATAATTTATACAACATGCAGCTCAGAAAGCTAATGCAATGAAAACTACAAAGAAGGTTATTATAAATAATAGAACATAATAAGAAAATTTAACATATATTCAACCAGAACCCCAGAAGGAAAGATGAGAAAGATCAATCAGAAGCAATATTTGAGGAAATGATGAGTGGGAAATTTTTAGAATTGGTGACAGCATCAGTAAATAGATCCAAGAAGCCTATGTAAACCTAAAAGGATAAATTAAAAATATATACATTCATAGAAATATCACAGTAAAATTTCAGAAAATCAAAGACAAATATTTTTAAAGCCACAGCAAAAACACATTTAACCTTCAAACACATGACAAACAGCTCTGTCCCATGTTGCTCAATAGTATTAATAGAAAAATAAAAGGTTATCTTCAGTGTGCTGAAAGAAATTAGTAAATCTTCCTGCCTAAACAGTTTTTGTATAGAAGCAAATAAGAGAATCAAATCAACTTATTATCAATTTGATTAGTTTTAAATTAATCAAGACCATAAAAAAGGTAAAAAGACATTTTATCTCTCACATTTTCCTCTTTGCTAATACCTTGCCACAATTCTGGGTCTAGCTGTTTGGACCTGTCTTTGTTTCTAGGCTTCTCACACCTTTAATGACATTGGTTCCTTTCTCTCTCTCTCTCTCTCTCTCTCTCTCTCTCTCTCTCTCTCTCTCTCTTCTCTTCCCCTTTTTTCTGAGACAAGGTCTTATTATGTAGCCCAGGCTGGCCTCAGCCTCAGCCTCCCAAGTGCTAGGATTACAGGTATTTACCACCCTACCCTGTTCACCATTCATTTCTCCTATAGAAACTCACCTATGACCTTTGCTACTTTCTGGAGATGGTAGTCTGTGAGAGCTTCATCATCTTTCTTTCTTCTCTTTTTCACCCTCTCCCTCCCTTCTCCCTCTCTTTCCTTTCTTTTTTCATATATTGGGGATTAAGTCTGTTACAAACCAATTGGCTGGAATTCCTTTTGGTCCTCCATTTACTTCTGGGTCCTTGAGGGTATCTGCAGGTGGTGGAGTGAATGACAGTGGGCAACAGCAGTCAGCCCTTTGACAGCTAGGGTTGAACTGACAGTTAGGGTGGCTGCACAGGGTTCCATGCCTTATGTGTTACAGCTCCCAAGAGGAAAGAGAAGGAGTCTTTCTTCTAGCAGATTTCAACCAGCCACTGTCAATTTTTCTTTTTCCATTGTTTGCAGACCTAAACCAGCTGCCCCTCTTCTGTTATCAGCTCAGCACAGACCACTCCAGAGAAAGTCTTTATTGGAAATCTGATTTTGCAACACCAGAGGGGCAGCAGGAAACATATGTCTCAGCTTGCTCACAAAGTGAATTGAGCAGTCTACTTATACAGCCAGAAGGAGAGAGCCCAATGGTGTCTACACCTATCATAACAGTCCCTTCATGTTTGCACCAATCAAGGTACAGTCCATTATGCAAATGAAAGATTATGTTTGCACCAATCACAGGTATTCAGGTGGGCTGAAATGCCCTCTCACCCTCTGGCCTGGGTGGAAGTGGCAGTTATGGCATTTGGTCTTCTGTTCAGCTAAAGCACTTTTCAGAGGGGTGCTTACAATAAAGACTTACCAGTAACAATGATTTAACAATATTTAACAGTGCTCTAACACTGCTTAACTTTTGGCAGAATGTTCCAGGAAGAGGTGAGTTCCTACCATCTGTTTCAAATCCAGGACCTTTCACATGCTAGGAATTACTATACCACTGAGCTCCATCCCCACCTCAAACTGCTTTTCTGAAATTACAAAAATCCTTCAAAATCCTTCTCTCCCTCTTTTTTATTGTGGGACTGAGGTTTGAACTCAGGGCTTTGCACTTGCAAAGCAGGCACTCTACTACCTCCAGTCCATTTTTCTCTAGTTATATTGGAATTGAAGTCTTGCAAACTATTTGCCCAAGCTGGACTTGAACCATGATCCTCCCAATTTCAGCCTCCCAAGTGACTAGGACTACAGGCATGAACCACTGATACTGGGCAAAACACCCTTTTCTTAATTTATGATTTATTATCTTTCTTGAAGGACCATTAACACTACTTACTGCAATAAGTCCCAAATTTGTCTCTACAACTTGAACTTCTTTCCTCAGCTTCATTTATTTAAAGAAAGATCATTTACATAAATATTTACAGGGATGCTCTATGAACACCTCAAACTCAATAGATTTTAAATGAAACTTTTCCCTTCCTCAAAAGTAAAAATATCTTCTCTAGTTCCACACCTATTCTTCTCCCTTCTCTTATTTGTATTTACTTTTTCAATTAATAGCACCCCAACACCCACTTAATTCTGGAGGCTTGAAAGCAAAGTATTTTCCTCGTCCTGTCCCATTCCCTCTATGTCTAATCTATAACCACATCCCATATTATTTTATCATTCTAATACAACCCATTACTTCATTTCTATGTGAGGCCAGTGTCATCTCTTGCCTTTAGTATTGCAACCAGTTCTAAACTCCCAATTTATTCTCAACTCTAAAACAGGATAATCTTAAAAAATAAAATAAAACCATGACCGTGTCAATTGTCTTCTTAGAACTATTCGATAATCTTGCATTTTCACTGGTATAAAGTCCAAAGGCTTTAGCATGTGTTACAAGCCATTTGCTTATCTTTCTAATTTCAACTCTCATTATTATTTCCTCTTGCTCTATGCCTCAGCCATATTGATCATATTTCAGTTCTTCCAAAATGCATTTCTCATTTTAGATTTGTATAAACATGTTTTAGCTTGCCTGTAAAGTTTTATCCTATCCATAACTTTGTTTGAATTTGTCCTACTCATTTTTCATGTATGACTCCATAATATACTTTCTCCAGAAAAGTGTTTTCTGTACTTTCAAATTTTTCCTGGGTGATCCTCATCTATGCTTTTATAAGTAGCATAAACTTTCCCTCTCATGGTAGTCATTCTGCTCTGTTTTAAATGGAGGATCATTTCCTATCTCTTCTTTTCATGGTTGGAACTGTGTCTACTATCTGCTTAGCATTTTATTGCTAACACATATCACCACTCCTAACACAAAGTATAGGATCCATAAAGTTGCTGGGCAAATTAATGAATAGATAAAGAAAATGATTAGAATTGTGCCTTTGAAAATGCTAGGTCTGGAAAATGATAAAGCTTGGTTTCATAATGAAACTGGGGTCTAAATTGTTCAACTTTTTTATGTCAAGAGGATCTGCACATACTGAGAAATAAATGTTATTGAGCATTTATTTTCTACGCTTTAGGTAAGTCTCTTATGGCATACTCCTAAATAAATGGTACCATTTTCCTAGCCTAAAATGTCTGACCTCCCCCACAAAAAATTACTTGCGTATACCAGATTCAATTTCAAGTACCTGTTCTTATTCTTATTGTCTTTTTTAAGAGTGTTTGCTGATAGATTTCCATTTCCAGTTTTCCTTAGAAATTCCCTCTTACTTTTGGCTTACTTACTTACTTATAAGATGGCTTGTAAAGCCACTTATATACAAGAGTTTTCTTAACAGTATTTGTTTTATATACTGTCTTCACAGAGAGATCATAACTTATTTGAAGCAATGACTGTTATGCTAATTATGATTTTTATATCCACCACAGCTCTAACAGATTGTGGTTTATTGTATTAATAACCAAATAGTAACAACATCATATATCACAAAGAATACAACTCAGAAAGGGAAATAGGACTACAGAAGAAAGTATCATTTAAATTGCTCAACAAATGCATAAGATAAGTTAATGTTTTGTCTCAAACTTATTTGACTTTGTGTAAAACCTGAAAACCTGCAGAGTCATGTGGTGGCGCTGCAGGATAAAATGTAGAAAATTTGTACTAGCAGATGTTCTGGCTTCCCTTCATCAGTAGAAGTGAGAGCACTGGAGAAAATGCTTTTGAGATAAAGGGCACCAATAACACCCTTCAGATAGGACCACAAGTCTATAGATTCCTAAAGGTCCAGATGAGAGGAACAGCTCCTGGAGCAGCTAGAGACTAAGTTGTAACGTTTGGGCAGAAGAACATTTGTCCAAGAAGTCATGGGGCTGGGAGAGGGGAGTGTGCAGCAGATAAGGCAAGTGCTGCTTTTCTTTCTTTTCTTGGGAGGGTCCTCAGTTCATTCTGGGTCCCAGAGCTATTCTATGGCAGAGGAAGTAGAGATGGGCTCTTTTATAGCAAACGTAATTAAAGATATGAGCTCCAGTGTGGAAAACCTAGCTGCAAGGGGCTCCAGAGTCATCTTTGACAACTATAACCCTTACTTGAGGCTGGATCTGAAGACAGGCAACTTGCTCTTAAATGAACGACTAGACCTGGAGGCACTTTGTGGTAAAACTGAACCCTGTATATTGCATTTCCAAGTATTATTTGAAAGTCCTTTGCAATTTTTTCAGGCTGAGAGTTTGGCCAGAGGCATAAATGATCACATTCCCACATTCCTCGACAAACATATACTTCTAAAAATCTCAGAAGGTACTACTCCAGGAACTTCATTCCAAATGGATAGGGCTTGGGACCTAGATGTAAGAAGGAATCTATCCAAAACTATACAATAAGCCTCAACCCCCATTTCAACCTTAAATTACAAGACAGGGCTGAAGGCAGAAAATACCCAGAGCTGGTGCTGGACCAATCTCCTCATAGAGAAAAGGAGCCTGAGCTTAGTTTAACTCTAACAGCCTTAGATGGCAGGGGTCCCTGTCCAGGTCTGGGACCATGCTGATTTCAGTTGTGGTCCTGGATATCCAGAACACTGCCTCTGAGTTTGAGAGACCAGTCTGTGAGGTTCAGATACCAGAGAACAGCACTGCAGATGGGTTGGTAATAAAGGTATCTGCTACAGATTTGGACGCAGGAACAAATGAAAACTCTTCATTTTCTCATATTTCTAGAGAGGTACAGAAAACATATGAAATCCTTCCAGTTTCTGGTAAAGTACATTTGAAAGGATATGTAGACTTCTAGAAAATTCAGTCTTATACAATAAATATTCAGGCCACTGGCGGTGGGAGTCTTTCTGGAAAATCAGCCATTATAGTGCAGGTTATAGATGTGAATTACAATCCTCCAAGAAATAGCCATTACATCTCTTACCAGCCCCATACCACAAAGCTTTTTGCCTGAGTTGGTGGTGGCTGATTTCGGCATAAGAGACCAAAATGCTGGAGACAATGAGAGAATGATTTCCTCAATTCCAGACAACCTTCCCTTTCTTTCGAAGCCTGCATTTAAAAACTTCTTCACCCTGGTAGCAGAGAGTACACTGCACAGAGAGATCAGATCCGATGATATTCCATTCACACTGAAACCCTCCATTGAGAACTTCTACAGGCTAGTAACCAAAGGAGCACTGGACAGAGAGAGCAGATCCCCGTACATCACCATCACGGTTTCAGACATGGGGACTCCCAGGCTGCAAACGGAGCACAGCATAAGCGTGCAGGTGTCCGACGTGAACGACAACGCCCCGGCCTTCACGCACACCTCCTACGCCCTGCGGGTGCGCGAGAACAACAGCCCCGGCCTGCACATAGGCAGCGTGAGCGCCACAGACAGGGACGCGGGCACCAACGCCCAGCTCACCTACTCGCTGCTGCCGCCCCCAGAGCCGCACCTGGCCCTCGCCTCGCTCGTGGCCATCGACGCGGACAGCGGGCAGCTGTTCGCCCTGAGGCCGCTGGACTACGAGGCCCTGCAGGCCTTGGAGTTCCGCGTGGGCGCCGCCGACCGCGGCTCGCCCGCGCTCAGCAGCCAGGCGCTCGTGCGCCTGCTGGTGCTGGACGCCAATGACAACTCGCCCTTCGTGCTGTACCCGATGCAGAACGCCTCTGCGCCCTGCACCGAGCTGCTGCCCAGGGCGGCCGAGCCGGGGTACCTGCTCACCAAGGTGGTGGCGGTGGACGGCGACTCGGGCCAGAACGCATGGCTGTCCTACCAGCTGCTCAAGGCCACGGAGCCCGGGCTCTTCAGCGTGTGGCCGCACAATGGCGAGGTGCGCACCGCCAGGCTGCTGAGCGAGCGCGACGCGCCCAAGCACAGGCTGCTGGTGCTGGTCAGGGACAATGGCGAGCCGCCGCTGTCTGCCAGCGTCACGCTGCACGTGCTGCTGGTGGATGGCTTCTCCCAGCCCTACCTGCCGCTGCCGGAAGCGGCGGCCGAACAGGGGCAGGGCGACGCGCTCACCTTGCACCTGGTGGTGGCCTTGGCGTCGGTGTCGTCGCTCTTCCTCTTGTGTGTGCTGGTGTTCGTGGCGGTGCGGCTGTGCAGGAGGAGCAGGGCGGCCTCTCTGTCTGGCTGTGCTGTGCCAGAGGATCACTTTCCGGGCCACCTGGTGGACGTCAGCGGTGCGGGGACCCTGTCCCACAGCTACCAGTATGAGGTGTGTCTGACAGGACACTCTGGGACTACCGATTTCCAGTTCCTAAAGTCTGTTATCCACAGTCATCAGGGGACTGTGAATGATGTGGATGAAAATCCATTTTTATGAAAAGTTTTGGATACACTTAGCAATTTTCCAGATCGTTCTGAATAAAGGTTGGTTGTTTTCTAAATGTACTAGATTACATTGTGCTTTTTGTTCATGTTTTGTGCTTTAATGTTTTGCACTTATTTTCCTAGTTTAGGAGATTAGAAATTTTCCTTGAGTATATCCCATAATCTCTTTTTAAAAATCTCAGAATTTGAGGCCAAGCTGGACAACTAGTAGTGAGACTGTCTCAAAAAAGTATAATTTTGAAAAAATTAAAGTTATTTCCAATGGCAGTTTTCAAAGTATTTAATAGAAATTCTTAGAAAATTCTGCGATGGGGATTGGGGACCTCAGTGACAGAGCACTTGCCTAGCAAGCAAAAGGTCCTGGGTTGATCTGCAGTATCACAAAAAAAAAAAGGCAGGAAGGAAGGAAGAAAATTCTGCTGTACAAGAAAAAGCTTTTGCATTGGAGGCTTGGCTCAAGTGGTACGAAGTACTGAGTTCAAACTCCAGTACCACAAAAAAAAAAAGGTTTTGAGAATCTTGAGTGTCATTAATAGTACTGGTGAGAACATTGGTATTACAAAATTTGTGCCTAAAAGAGAAGTATACCTTATTTGTAGAGTAATCATGACCTTTTTGTTACATTATTCTTTTTATAATATATCTCTTTGGTTGGAAGGAGCCATGGCATTTTTTCCACTTAGTGAAAAGACATTTTAGATCATTCTGAATTATTTCAAATTACTACTCAAAGGGGCATAGAAAATAGCTTCTTGGAAACATACCATATTGTTTATTCAGCTTATGAAATGTGCTGAGATCCCAGCAAGAGAGGGACAGGTTGAGGCTGGGTATTCGGATCAAAAATAGAGTGCTTGTCTAGCAAGGCCCTGGTTTGGTCCATGGCACCAGCGAAAAAGGGGGGATATGTCTATAGTAAGAGAAAATCCATCAGAAAATTTTTGTTCATTGTGATTTTATCCACTGATTCGACAAATATTTGTTAAGCATCTACTCTCTGTCAAGGATTATTTTAGAGGTTGAGGATGCAGCAGTGAAGCAAACAATGTTCTATCCCTTATGGGTAACACCAAAAAAATAAATATGGACATCTGTGCTATGACAGAAGATACATTCTAGAGAGAAAAAAACAGGGTAAGAGATATAGGAAGTGTCTTTATCTCATTTTCCCATAGTTAGAAAGTTTCATAAAACTCTAAGTCTTGGACAGGAGGTGTGACTCAGGTGGTAGAAAACCTGCTTTGCAAGCCTGAAGCCCTGAATTCAAACCCCAGTACCACCAAAAAAAATCCTAATTTTCTGACTATATGTGTAAAGAGTATCATAAACCAAAATTAACTTGTAGTTTTTTCCTTGATATGATTCAACCAATGGGAGCCATAATTTTGGTAAATAAGCTGCATAGAATTTGAAAGAAAATCTAGAGGAAATAATCCTTTTTTGCTGAGAGAATATTAAGAAATCATAGGGCCATATGCTACTAATTTTATGAGATGACTGATCAGGATTATAAATCTTCTTTCACTTCTTAGTTTCCCTCAGAATATTCCCACCCAAATTACAGGCTTTAGGAGGTAGGGACAATGTCTGGGCTGTTGTGTTTTCCAGAACTTGGCACATAGAGAACAATAATTCTTTGAACGAAGGAATGCATAATTAAAATTGCATGATTTCGTGATTTCATCAATTTCTAAACTTCTGATAGTCAAATAGATTACATAAAGAACCACAGTAGCAATTCGTTTAGAAGAAAAAACAACGCATGGTGGCGCTGCAGGCTAAGGCTTCAAAAAATAAAAAAAGCCAGTAAATGCTAGGAACTCTACTTCAGATCTCCAGTGGAAGAGAAACTCCGACCTTAAGCATCAAGAGAATGCTACATACCTGCATTTCCAGTCAGTTTATCAACTATACTAGATGGACTACCATCTCAGTCCTATAGCTCCCTGAAATACTGCTGCTCCCTGTTCTGGAAGGCTTGCACAGAGGCAAGATGGAGGCTGGAGGAGAGCTAAAACAAAGGCAAGTCCTAATTCTCTTTCTTTTACTGGTAGTGGTTCAGGCAGGCGGGGAACTCCGTCGCTATTTTGTAATGGAGGAAATTGAGAGGGGATCTTTTGTGGCAGACCTGGCCAAGGACCTAGAATTGGGAGTGGGGGAGCTAGCTGCACGGGGCGCCAGGGTGACTTCTGACCATAAGGAGCCACCTTTGCAGCTTGATCTGCAGACCGGGAAATTGATATTAATTGAGAAACTGGACCGGGAGGAGCTGTGCGGCCCCACTGAGCCCTGTGTAATGCCTTTCCAAGTATTAATGAAAAAGCCATTGGAAGTATTTCGGGCTGAGCTACTAGTGGGAGACATAAACGATCATTCTCCTGCGTTTCCTGAAAGAGAAATGACTCTGAAAATCCTAGAGACCAGCCCGCCTGGTACAGTGTTTCCTCTGAAAAAAGCCCAGGACTTGGATGTGGGCAACAACAACGTTCAAAACTACAATATTGGTCCCAACTCTCATTTCCATGTTTCCACCCAAAGCCGGGGAGATGGCAGGAAATACCCAGAATTGGTGCTGGACAAAGAGCTGGATCGCGAGGAGCAGGCTGAGTTCAGATTAACACTGACAGCGCTGGATGGCGGCTCTTCACCCAGATCTGGCACTGCCCAGATCAATGTCTTGGTCTTAGATGTCAATGACAATGCCCCTGAGTTTGCGCAGGAGCTCTACGAGGTGCAGATCCCAGAGAACAGCCCTTTAGGCTCTCTAGTTGTCAAGGTCTCTGCTAGGGATTTAGATACTGGGACAAATGCAGAAATATCATACTCCCTTTTCTATAGTTCTCAGGAGACAGGCAAAACTTTTGAGCTAAGCAGCCTTTCAGGAGAAGTTCGCCTAATTAAAACACTAGATTTCGAGACAAGAGCCTCATATGAAATAGATATAGAGGCATCTGATGGCGGGGGACTTTCTGGAAAATGCTCTGTCTCTATTAAGGTTGTGGATGTTAATGATAATTACCCAGAACTAACCATTTCATCACTTACCAGCCCTATTCCTGAAAATTCCCCTGATACAGAAGTAGCTCTTTTTAGGACCCGGGACCGAGACTCTGGGGAAAATGGGAGGATATTTTGCTCCCTCCAGGATGATATTCCATTCACATTGAAACCCTCCATTGAGAACTTCTACAGGCTAGTAACCAAAGGAGCACTGGACAGGGAGAGCAGATCCGAGTACAACATCACCATCACGGTTTCAGACATGGGGACTCCCAAGCTGCAAACGGAGCACAGCATAAGCGTGCAGGTGTCCGACGTGAACGACAACGCCCCGGCCTTCACGCACACCTCCTACACCCTGCGGGTGCGCGAGAACAACGGCCCCGGCCTGCACATAGGCAGCGTGAGCGCCACAGACAGGGACGCGGGCACCAACGCCCAGCTCACCTACTCGCTGCTGCCGCCCCCAGAGCCGCACCTGGCCCTCGCCTCGCTCGTGGCCATCGACGCGGACAGCGGGCAGCTGTTCGCCCTGAGGCCGCTGGACTACGAGGCCCTGCAGGCCTTGGAGTTCCGCGTGGGCGCCGCCGACCGCGGCTCGCCCGCGCTCAGCAGCCAGGCGCTCGTGCGCCTGCTGGTGCTGGACGCCAATGACAACTCGCCCTTCGTGCTGTACCCGATGCAGAACGCCTCTGCGCCCTGCACCGAGCTGCTGCCCAGGGCGGCCGAGCCGGGGTACCTGCTCACCAAGGTGGTGGCGGTGGACGGCGACTCGGGCCAGAACGCATGGCTGTCCTACCAGCTGCTCAAGGCCACGGAGCCCGGGCTCTTCAGCGTGTGGCCGCACAATGGCGAGGTGCGCACCGCCAGGCTGCTGAGCGAGCGCGACGCGCCCAAGCACAGGCTGCTGGTGCTGGTCAGGGACAATGGCGAACCGCCGCTGTCTGCCAGCGTCACGCTGCACGTGCTGCTGGTGGATGGCTTCTCCCAGCCCTACCTGCCGCTGCCGGAAGCGGCGGCCGAGCAGGGGCGGGGCGACGCGCTCACCTTGCACCTGGTGGTGGCCTTGGCGTCGGTGTCGTCGCTCTTCCTCTTGTGTGTGCTGGTGTTCGTGGCGGTGCGGCTGTGCAGGAGGAGCAGGGCGGCCTCTGTGTCTGGCTGTGCGGTGCCCCAGGGCCACTTTCCGGGCCACCTGGTGGACGTCAGCGGTGCGGGGACCCTGTCCCACAGCTACCAGTATGAGGTGTGTCTGACTGGAGAGTCTCAAAGCAATGATTTCAAATTCTTAAAGCCTATCTTCCCCAATATTCTGAGCTATGACTCTGTGAGAAAATCAGAAGATAATCCAACTTTCCAGAATAATTTAGGTATAGGAAACCTCTCTACTGACTATTAATTTTTCTCTCTCGTGCTTTTCATTTGTAAGTGTATAGTAATGTTTTTTGCTCTACATTTTCTCTTTGTAGTGCAGGGGATTGAATCCCAGGCTTTACATGTTCTAGGGAAGTGTCTGTCGCTGAGGTGCACCCCAGCCCTTTGCTGTGTTTTTGTTTGTTTGTGAGGGTTTTTTTTTTTTTAGTAATTTTAATCTTTGTTTTGGTGGTCTATTTTCTGTATAGTGACTCTTTCATTTTAGCAAACATTTTATTTTCAGGAAATTTCATATTCCTGATTGAATTTTTGATATTCATTCCTGAAGAATAACGTGAAGCTTAACCACTTCTTTTAGCATAATTCTAATTTAAAAGTACATTTCCCACTACATGAGAATGTCTGTTTTCTTTTTTTAATCATAGTTTATCTTTGAAATTTGGAAGTCTTTTTAGATTTTATTATCTCCACAGCTATGACTTTTCAATAACTCCATTTCTGTTTGAGATGTAAGCAGTACTTGCTCATTAATGCCTTGTTTTTTTCAAGCTCCCTGAATGTATTTTTGATTTCCCTAGGCACTGGCATGGATAATTTCAAGCTATTTCTACGTCATACTTGTAATCATTAAGGTTTTGTTCTAAACTATATGTGTTATTTCTTGATACTATGTCTGTATCACCTATTCTTTTTCATCTAAATTTGTATTGAATAGACTGTGGGTTCTTCCTTATCTCTGACATTGTCATCATGCTGAAGATGCTTGACATGTTTACTGATACTCAGATTTCATGGTTAAGGTGTTCCTATAAGGCCAAAACACTCTAAGGTCAAGTAATGCATTTCTTGCAATTGTACCTTGATATGGCAGAGAAATTCTCAAGTGAGCTCCAAATTTCAGGCTTAGAGGAGCTTCTGGTAGTACAGCATGCTATTATCTTCTTGCCTTTGGGTGGTAAGGGATTTGGAAAAATACTTTGTAGAGTTAATATTGGTTAACCAAACAAAATTCATTAAAGAATATGTTGATGAAGTAGTTGATGACTTGCAGAAATCATTTGGGGACATGATGACTACCAAAGATGTACACATCCTCAACCCTGGAACCTATATGCTATCTTAGATTGCAATGAGGAATTAAGGTGCAAATGGAATTAAGGTTGCTAATCACTCTATTGTGTAACACAGTCTGATGCATGAATGAGACAAGGTCAAGAACAAGAAACATCTGAATGATTAGAAATGTCAAAATACATAACTCTGGGAATATCCCAACATCATGTGGACATTAAATTTGCTAAACTTAAAGAGAAGACTCTACATAATCTGGGTGGTCCTGATTCTGCCAGACAGATATAAGGCCTTGAAAGCAGAGAAGAGTGTTATCTGAGGTAAAGAAGAAATTTTGTCTAAGGAAACCAGGTTCTGCTTGTGCCTCAGTGTTCCAAACTGCTCTAAATTGCTTGCCACACATATTTGGGACTTGTGCAGGCAGCTCCTACAATAAAATTAGTCACTACCTTCAACAAATTTCTTAATATATATCTCCCGATGGCTGTTTGTCTAGTTGAATCCTGACTGATACAGACTTTGTTACCTAGAACTGGGTGCTATGGTAACAAATACTTAAAAATATGGAAGTTGGTTTTTAATTGAACACTGGGTAGAGGCTGGAAGAATTGAAGAAGCATGATAGAAAAAAAACCTAGATTGTGTTGGACAGACTGCTAATATAATGTGAAGTTAATGTGTTAGTGAGGAGTCATAGGGAAGCGAGGGACATAGTGGAGAAGCATAATTGCCTTATTGAATATGTAAACCATTTAAAGCAGACTGTGGGAAGAAATATCAGTATTATAATTACTGCTAGTGAGGGCTGAGACCTGAGGAAAATATTACTGGAAAGCAGGGGAAAGGGAATAATTTTATATAATGGCAGAAAACTTAGCTCAATTGTGGCTTGCAGTTTTGTGATGAAAATAAATTATAAACAATAAATTTGGGTGTTTGAGGAGATTTGCAGGCAAAGTGTTGAAAATACAGCTTATTTTCAACAGCTTATTTTCTCTTATTTTGCCTATAGCAAAATATGAGAGGAAAATATGAGAAGAATTATATTGAGGGGAAAACTGTTAGGCAAGAAGAAACCAAGACTTGATGATTAAGGAAAATCTCAGCCTATCCACATGGCAAACAATGTTAAAATTAGGAAACTCACTTTTAGGAAAGCATGCTCTCTCTGTAGAAAAAGAAAAGCATGTAGCAGAAAAGTCATCTGCTAGTGCCCTGAAGGTATCAAAGTAGTCAATAGTACAGAGGTTCTTTGAAGAGACTACACTTATTACCCACCCATCTCAACAGAACCCAGGAATCTAGATTAAGTTATTCAGGAAAGAACTATGAAGGAGCCTTTTGTTTAATGATGTAAATCTCTATGACACACATAGGAGACCCACCAGATTTTTGTGACTATTATGCCAGCACAGACCTGGACAGTTTGAACTTGAAGGGATTAGTATTCCCAATATATTTAGGGCGAGACATATCTTTTTCCACAATCAAAGCAAAATAACATGGAATGAGAATTCATTTTGGTGATGGTTAATGGAAATATTATTGAAATAAAGGGTTGATTGGAAATTCCATGTTTAGAAATTAAATGTACTTAAAATGTAACAAAAATCAGAATATAGTCTCCATTAGCCTGGAAATTACTGAAGAAGTTTTACCATAGTCTATAGGCATCCTATTGTATAATGTGTTCTTATACATGAATGAGACAAGGTCAAGAACAAGAGGCATTTAAATGATTTGGAAATGCCCAAGTACATAATTCTGGGAATATCCCAACATCACATGGACATTAAATTTGAAATAAAATTTTGAAATTCTTTTATCAAGTTCTATCTCTTTCTGACTGGAGTTTTTTTTATCTGACAATAGTCAAAAATCTGACCTTCCTTAGGAAAGTAGATATTCCTAATTTTGACAAACCCAAAGAATGAAGGTTAAAGATGTAGGATAATATCTTGAAGGAATTCCTGAGTATAGTGTCTTGAAGGAATTAAGTCCCATTCAACTAGCCTGTCTCCAAATATTACTCCTCAAATTGTCACTACTGCTTTTAACTTCCAGAATCATGTTTGGAGACCATATACATTTCGGTAAATCTTATTATGCTTTAAACATAACTTTTAGAAATTCACACTTCATAGTAACAAACTTAGTACCTCTGTATTTGTCTAAATGTTCTTGATTGCTATCAGTAGAACCCTAATTCAAACTAGCTCAAGGTAGAAAAAAAAACATAATTCATTGAGAGAATTTTGGGTTACATAATTTAAGTTGTGTTTGGAAATCAAAACTAACTGGAGCAAAATGTTTAAAACAATTAGAAACAATTGAAAAATCATTCTATCTGTTATGATTTGGTTACAAATTGCCCCTCCAAAAGGCTCATCTGTTGAATTCTAGGTCTCTAGGTGGTGGGGCTGTTGAGTGGTGACTTGATCATAAGCATGCAGACTTTATGGATTTGTTAATCCACTGGTGAGTTCATAGCTAAGATACTTAGAAAATGGGACACAGTTGAAGGAAGTAAATCAGAGTAAGGGTATGTTCTTGAAGAGTATTTTGGGACCCTGGTCCCTTCCTGTGTCTCTCTCTGCTTTCCTGCCTTCATTAGGTGAGCAGCTTACTCCTGCCACCATGATACTCTGCCTCGCCTCAGATCCAAAGCAATGGAGGCAGGCCATGTACTAAATCCTCTGAAACTGTGAATCAAAATAAATCTTTCCTCCCTTAAGTTGATTTTCTCAAGCATTGTTTCATAGTGATGAGAAACTGACTAATACACCACCTATCTGTTCTTTTTTTCTTCTGCCTACTGGTTTCATTCTCTTTAACTGAAGGCCATAAGCCTCCACATGGAGAAAAAATGCTCTCCTACAATTCAAGAGCCCCAAAGTTCTTTTTTATTGATATAACTTGACCCATACTTTTTTTGGTCCCAAGTTTAGAAATCTTGGTAGGCTTGTATCAGCTGTAAGTAATGGGTAAGTGTATGTATGTGTTGGTAGTATGACTTCTTCTCTTTGTTTCACATAATTGCAACTGTAAAAGGTACCTGCCTTTCCCAGAATAAAGGGAGATGAATAAATGTCTGCAGATATCAGTACTCTCCAACATCAGTGATTTGGAGGTAAGGGAATCACAGTTTTATTTAATAAGTTGTGTCTGTTTATGTGCCCACAAAAGTTACAGAACATTTGTTTCACAGTCAGGGCAATGAATTATCCCAATTACTTCAAACAGCCAGGCATTTGTCTAGGAAATGGTTCTAGGTGGTAATTATAACTCAACATTGATGCTGGGCTTCTGTCAATTGCTGGGTTCACTAAACAGAGCTGACACTAGGGAACCAAAGCCGACTATCTGCAGTGGTGTTAATAGGTGCTTCTTCCTCAAAGAATGGGAAATAAGATCAGTGAGGCCTGAAAACATCTATTTCTCCTTCAAAATCCCCCTTAACAACATTCCTTTTAGCTAACATATTTGCCATTAGCATGGTTCTAGTGAATATTTGCCTCACATACTTGGAGGTTCCTGTATTAATACTTCAAAGAAAGGTAGGATAGCAAAATGACTTATGTGGATTTGTTGTTGTTTCTATGTTTTTGACTACAGTGAACACTTTCCTCATATATTATCTGACTGACTATGACATTAAAAATGCTTAATGAATTCTAGCACTTTCAGAAGTCTGTCCCATACTGTATTAACAGTCTCCACTATATGTTAATGGACTGGAGAATAGCAAATACAATTTACTCCAGGCTATTATCAAGAACACCCAATGCTGAGGAGTAATTCTTGTCACTTGAAGGCATTGATGGTTAATTTCAAGATAATAACTTGAACATGAAATTATAGAAGGGAATTTATTACCAGTATTTTTAGGTACTCTTAATTTTTCCTAACAGCCTTCTCATATAAT